GGCCACCGCGTGATGTTAGCAGCTACGGTCGGGAAATTAAAATGGGAAAGGCAGTAAACCCTGATGAGCACCACTTGAGGTTGATAACTTCGTTGACAGTTCACTATAAGCTTTGAATTTACAATCAGTGTCGAAGTACAACCTCTACGTGTTGATGTTTTTTTAGCATGCCTTCTGATGACACACTGTTAGTGCTAGTAAGACAATAATAGTTGGAAGTCGGTAATTGTCTGCTTTCAGATACTTGGTGAAGAATGAATATTCGGTCTACACATCAAGTCTAACACCAGTCTGGTTTTGTAGAGTTTGGTTATCCATCAACCCTTGTTGCGTCATGGCACTATTGAGGCTAATATTTGGACATTGTCGGTCAAGCTATACCGAAATGGAAACGAAGATTTATTTCATCACATACTCGATCATTCGTCTACACTGAAGTCCAGTCTTGAGCCGCTAAAATTCCTCTGTTATGAATCAGCAATGGAGATCAGCTACGTGGGATTACGTTCCCAGACTTCTGCTACTATATTAGTCAATATAACTGCTAAAACTAAACTACAATCCTTGAAAACCTAAGAAGGTAATCTAGCAGAGTCTGTAGCTTTCACTTTCTTTATATAAGTTGTGGTTTTTTGAAGTCTTCAAGAGTTGGGGGCTTTATATTGGCATTCCGTATAAGTCTCTTGAGAAAAGTAAGCAAGCGCCTTTCAAAATAGACTAATTGATAATTTCTTAATTTGGTAAGCTACAGATTACAAGAGTCTATGTCCTTTGATGATGAATGAAACCAAACGAAATGATGGTGAACTATTTTCGCGGACAATATATTAGCTCAAGACCAAAAAATAGTTATAAGTTAGTCCACTTTAGTCAGTCAGTCAGTTAGTCAGATGCAACGTAGAACTTCGTACGTAAGTACATCAGTTCATGTCGCCATACCACATCAACACAGAGATATAATTGTCAATTCAAATCCAATAGTAGAAGAGGTAGTAAAGGTATTAGAAGTAGTCGGAGAGGTCAGGATTAGAAGATATTATTCATGAAGTATGATTAAATGAGATAAGTTTAGAAAGTAAAAACTAGAGGTGTTGAAGAATCCAGAAGATTAGCATTTGAGAGAACACAAAGAATAAATGCACCGGCGCCATTGCGAACGATTTTGAGCCATATCATTCAAGGTCTCTAACCATCGATTATTATCATCTCGCGGACCCCAACCAGGTAGTCGACAATTACCGACATGGATAAGTCCACTAATCAATGACTTCATGGATTTCTGCCATGTTTTGGTCTGGCCGCCCCTAGCTTTCTTCCAACCTATTCCTACACTACAAAACAAAGCTCGACGAGGGAGTCGCTGGTTAGGCATACGCAACACATGTCCCAACCACCTCAACTGATGAAGTTTCACCACTTCATCGATTGGTCTGCCATTCTTACCTAGCACCCGATTCCTAATAACAGCGTTGCTGACTCGGTTGTCCCACGATATACGAGCAATGCTTCGAAGACACCTATGATCGAAAACCAATAACCGACGAGTATCTTCCACTCTCATTGGCCATGTTTCACAGCCATAAAGTAAGACGGAGCGAACCACTGCGCAGTACACTCGTCCTTTAGTCAGCAGACGGATATCTCGCCTACGCCATAAGTGACGCAGGTTGGCAAAAGCCAATCGAGCCTTCTGTATCCGTGCCGAGATTTCGTCAGTCACCAGGCCATCGGCACTGATGAGACTCCCGAGATAAGTGAAGCGGTCTACACGTTCGACTACTTCACTCCCTATCACTAGTTCAGGTGCCGTTGCAACCCAATCTTGAAGCAACATTTTGCATTTCGAGGGTGAGAACCGCATCCCGAACATGCTTGCATTGTTGCTTAGGGTAGTCAGAAGACTCTGCATTTTGTCAGCGTCTTCACCAAGTAGGACAATGTCATCGGCATATTCTAAGTCAATAAGCGAGCCACCTGGTAAAAGGTCTACTCCTGAAAATTCAGACGAGGATAAGGTTATTTCTAGGAGCATGTCTATGATAAAATTAAACAAGAATGGAGAGAGTGGACATCCCTGACGGACACCACTTGATGTAGAGAATTCCGGTGACAGTTCGCCATCAGCTCTCACTCGACCAGTGGTGTTTGAGTAGAGAGCTTGTATGAGATTAATGTACTTATTTGGTACACCTTTCAATGACAGACACTGCCACAGAACCTCACGATCCACTGAGTCAAATGCCGCCTTAAGGTCCAGGAAAACAACTATTGTAGGACGCCTAAATGTGTGTCTGTGTTCCAGGACCTGTCGTAGTGTGAAAATGTGGTCTATACAACCACATCCAGGTCTGAAACCAGCTTGGTTTTCTCTAGTCTGCTCTTCACGATCTCTAGTTAGGCGTTCCAATAATATTGAGGTCAATATTTTAGATACTATATTAGTTAGACTTATTCCCCTGTGATTGTCACAAGAAGACTTCTGTCCTTTCTTATAGATTGGGACAATCAGTGATTGGGACCAGTCGGATGGGATTACATCCAGTTCCCAGATTCTACCTAAGATCTCAGTCAACCTAGCTGCTAAAACTGGACCACCATCCTTAAATATCTCAGGGGTCAGTCTATCAGGACCTGCAGCTCGTCCTCGCTTCAGATTTCCTAAATCTTTTTCAACTTCATTAAGACTAGGGGGACTTACGTCGATTTGCCATTCAGGATGACTGGCGATGGTGGGTAACCGAAGAGTGGCTCGAGGCCAGTTGAACTGACCCCTAAAGTGTTCTGCCCATCGATCCAGTCTCCTGGATTGAGAATAAATAATAGTCCCGTCATTTTCTGAGATAGTCTCGCTTCCACTAGGATTCCTAATACCAGTTTCCTTGATAAGTCGGAAAAGTTGTCTAATGTTGCCTATCGCCGCTGCCTTTTCCATCGCTTTTGCTTTCGCCACCGACCACTGTTCGCGATCGTTACGTAGGCTTTTTATAAGTCTGCGCCTAAGTTGACTTCGTTCTTCATCATGTTCAGAGCCAGGTGGGATGAGTTTTCGGGCATCCATCAGATCGGTGGATGCTACTGAGATCCACGGTTTCATTCTAGCCTTATGGTCAACCTTACTAGCAGATATCACTGCTGTTTCCACAGCCTTTTTGATATCATTCCAACCTGCCTCCGGATGGGCATCGCTTAAATGGTCGCCTAACTATCTTTCTAGTTGTTCCTGAAATATATTTTTCGCCTTATTATCATTAAGTAAAACCCTAAGAGGCTTTCTTACGGTGTCTTTCCTACGCCCAGTAAGCTTCAAACAAATACGCGCTCGCACTAGGGCATGATCTGAATCTAGACATGTGCTCCAGAACGAGCGACAGTCCTCTATCGAACCCCTCCATCGGTGGCTGATGGCAATGTGATCTAGTTGAGTCCAACGTTGAGACGACTTTGGAGGTCGCCAGGTCAAGAGATGCTTTTCCTTATGCTTAAAGTTAGTGTTTGCTAAAAATAGGCGGTTGTCTGAGCATATTTGCAACAGACGGTCACCATTGTCTGTTCTCTGAGCCGCGACACCATAACATCCACCTAGGTGTCTCTCCTGCTCACTTAGTCTACCTACTTGAGCATTAAAGTCACCAGCCATTATTACTATATCAGAGCGCCTAGCTTTTTGGAGGAGGTCCGAAAGCTTTCTGTAAAACTCATCCTTAACCTCGTCTGAACTGCATTCAGTGGGGGCATAGGCAGATACGACGAATAGGCAACGGCGATTGTCCCTATCTTTCCGAGTCCTTACTGTCCCGTTTAGTCGGACAGCGCACAATCGACTATCTACTGGGATCCAGTCAAGGAGAGATTGTTCTGCCCTACGACTCAATGCTATGCCTACGCCAGCAAGACCCCGGGAAGCAGCATCAGGGCTACCGGATACACGAAGGGTAAATCGAGCTGCTTCTTTATCTTGACATGGTGAGGTCAAATGAGTGATGCTACTCGGATCCTGTATGCGCGTTTCCGAGACGCAGCATGCATCGATGGCACGAGATTCTAAAGTCCTAGCTAAGGAAGCCTGTTGCCCTATTTGACACAATGTCCGTACATTAAATGCTCCAACATGTAGTCTAGAGCGAGGTTTAAGGAGACCAGGAACGACGTTTCGCGAACTCGTATCGTCTGCATTAGCTGTACACTGTGATGAATGAATGTGAGAAGAGTTAGTCGTGGAGATAAGAGGTACTAGGGGGTGTAGGAAGGATTTGATTTTGAACAATTCGGTCTCTGGTGCTGTTATGGGTATAAGGGCGGTTGTCACTTCCCGGCTGCCCACACCGTGGAAGGTTGTTTCTTGAGGAACCTGAAAAGGAAGATAGATTAGTGTTGGTGCGTGACCGCAGAGCCCAAGGGACAACTGCTTGAGGCCAGTCACGCATGGCCTTTTTATCAAATGTTTTTTGAGGATTAGCTCCGTTCTTAAAGGCCCTTAGTGGGCACCCTTACCCAAGGAGACGGAAATCCGTGAGTTAGGGGAGGTGTGACATTTTTAGGGTCGACCTTTTCTAACCCTTCCTTCCTTGTGAGAAGGCAGCATCGCTGCAGATGCTGGTTGTCCGAGGGAAACACCTTACTGCTGTCACACCCCTCTGCAGTCAGCAGTACGACTTCGCCCTCAGACCTTGGGTAGCTGCTTTTAGTCTCATCGTTCTCCAATCGATCTGCCTGGCATGGTAGACTCTTGAGGAACATATGTTCCAGCCATTATAGCTCGGTTGGGTCATCACGATAGGCAAGCCCGACCACCACGTCAAGGTAGCAGCTACGGTCGGGAGTCCACTTTAGTGCATATAAATAAAGCATAAACGTAGTGCTATAGATGCACAGCCTTTTACGTTAAGTAATAAGGCCTAATAGAATGATGTTTAATCAAACGACTCGAATGATAATGATTTTCAAATATCAGACAACGAAACAACATTTCTACAAAGTATGGAAAATTTATTTTAGAAAATTTATTCTTTTACAGCAAAGTCAGTCAGGTCAGGTAGCTCCTCAATACCATCTTTGGTGACAATACGGACCATGTATCGATCAAGATTTATAACAAGACGTTTTTGAACTTCCTGAATACACAAACGCAACAGTGCAACAGCTTCACTCACAGTCATATCTGGACGGTGCATACGATCTAGGATACTCAAGGCAACAAGAGCACCATATCCATGCACCGCGAAGGGGACCTGAAAAAAACAAAGAAATAATAATAATAAATTTTTTCAAACTGATGATTAAAGACAGCTGTTAGATATTATCGGCATGTGACATAGCTTTTAAAAATGTTGAGAAGTGGTAAAATTATAGCTTTGTGCATCGAACTCTAGCTGAACTGATAACAGCACAGGAAACAAAACAAGCAGAAATTACATGTTCAGACTACGATAATCATTTTGTAGAATTATATGGATGGATACTGAGATTATTGTATTTATTTTATGTAGTAATACCAACTGCATTTTATTCCTTATAGTTTCTAACTTTTAATTACTGTCAGTGCTGTTATATTTACTTCTGTTATTCATTCTAGTGACACTTTCTTTGTAAAACAAAACGTCAAGACTTGGAGAGATACCAACATGTGACGATGATAAATGAAAATATGAAAATCAGGCATTCCTGAAGGGTGACTTAAACAACGAAACTAGTGTATCAGAACTATGCTCCCAGTCAGCCAGTTACAACTCGGAACTCCGTACGTAGGTACATCAATCAATAGCAACGTAGAACTTCGTATGTACATACATCAGTTCATGTTGCCATACCACGTCAGAGTCAGAGTCAGATGCAACGTAGAACTTTGTACATAAGTACATCAGTTCATGTTGCCATACCACATCAGCACAGAGAAGTAATCGTCAATTCAAATCCAATAGTAGAAGAGGTAGTAAGGGAATTAGAAATAATCGGAGAGGTTAGGATTAGAAGATATATTCAAGAAGTATGATTCAGTGAGATAAGTTTAGAGAGTCGAAACTAGAGGTGTTGAAGAATCCAAAAGATTAGCATTTGAGAGAACACAGAGAATAAATGCACCGGCGCCATTGCGAACGATTTTGAGCCATATCATTCAAGGTCTCTAACCATCGATTATTATCATCTCGCGGACCCCAACCAGGTAGTCGACAATTACCAACATGGCTCAGTCCACTAGTCAATGACTTCATGGATTTCTGCCATGTTTTGGTTTGGCCGCCTCTAACTTTCTTCCAACCTATTCGTACATTACAAAACAAAGCTCGACGAGGCAGTCGGTGGTTAGGCATACGCAGCACATGTCCCAACCACCTCAACTGATGAAGTTTCAATACTTTATCTATTGACCTGCCATCCTTACCTATCACCGTTTCCTAATAACAGCATTGCTCACTCGGGTGTCCCAGGATATACGAGCAATGCTCAGAAGACATCTCTGATCGAAAACCAGTAACCTACGGATATCTTCTACTCTTATCAGCCATGTTTCACAACCATATAGTAAGACAGTGAACTAGACTCTTCCTGTCGTTAGTAAACGGATATTTCGTCTTCGTCATACGTGGCGCAAGTTGGCAAAAGCCAGTCGAGCCTTCTGTATCCGTGCTGAGATTCCATCAGTCACTAGGCCATCAGCACTGATGAGACTACCGAGGTAAGTGAAGCGGTCATCACGCTGAACTACTTTACCTTCCAATGCTAGTTCACATGCCGATACAAGCCAATCTTGAAGCAACATTTTGCATATCGAGGGGGAGAATCGCATCCCGAACATGCTTGCGTTGTTGCTTAGGGTAGTCAGGAGACACTGCATTTTGTCAGCGTCTTCACCAAGTACAAATATGTCATCAGCATACTCTAAGTCAACAAGCGTGTCTCCTGGAAGAAAGTCCACTTCTGAAGAGTCAGACGAAGATAATGATAACTCTACCCAGGTGTCTTTCATTTTCACTGAGTCTACCTACTTGAGCGTTAAAGTCAGCAGCCATTATTACTACGTCACAGTGCTTAACATTTTGGAGAAGTTTAGAGAGGTTTCTATAAAACTTATCTTTCATGTCGTCTGAAGTGCAGTCAGTGGGAGCGAAGGCAGATACGACGAAGAGTGTCCCTATCTTTCCGAGTCCATACCGTCCAGTTTAGTCGGACAGCCCATGAGCGACTGTCTACCGGGATCCAATCAAAGAAAGCTAGTTCTGCCCTAAGACTTAATACTATACCTACGCCGGTCAGGCCATGAGAAGTGGCATCAGGGCTTCCAGAAACACGAGGCGTAAACCTTGTTGTGTCGCTATCTGCATTAGATGAGATCAAATTGATGATTGTACTCGAATCTTGTATGCGCATTTCGGAAACGCAAAACATATCGATCGCCCGAGATTCCAGAGTTCTAGCTAATGAAGCCTGTTGCCTTGTTTGGCTAAGGTCCGAAAATTAAAAGCTCTAATATGTAATTTAGTACGGGGTTTCAAGAGACTAGGAATAATGTTTCGTGAGCTCATGGCGTTTGTTTCAGTGGCGTCAGGTGATAAACGATTGAAAGAAGGTTCGGTCGAGGAGATGAGAGATTTATTAAGAGATGTAGAAAGAATTTGATTGTGACCGATTCGGTCTCCTGTTCTTTTATGGGCATGAGGGCGGATATGACCTCCCGGCTGCTCACACCGTGGAAAGGTTTTTCTTGAGGAACCTGAAAAAGGAAAGTAGATTACTGTTGGTCTTAACGACCTAATGGCAAGACCGCAGAGCCCGAGGGACAACTGCTTGAAACCAGTAACGCACGGCCTTTTTAAGAAAGATTTTTAGTCTGCTACCCTCTTATCAAAAGCACTTACCGACTATTTGCCAACCGAAGCTGCTACCTTGACATAGTGGTCCAGCTTGCCTATCGTGATGACCCAACCGAGATATATCGGCTGGAACATACGAACCTTAATGTTCTACCATGCCAGGCAGGTCGATTGGAGAACGATGAGACTAAAAGCATCTACTCTAGGTCTAAGGATGAGGTCGTACTGCTGACTGCAGAAGGGTGTAACAGCAGTAAGGTGTTTCCCTCGGACAACCAGCATCTTCAGCGATGCTGCCTTCTCACAAGAAAGGAAGCGTTAGAAAAGGGCAACCCTAAAAATGTTACACCTCACCTTACCTCACGGATTTTCGTCTCCAGAGGTGAGGCATTTTAAACAAGAACCGAAATAACACTTTAAAAACTCCTCATAAAAATAAAAACAGTTGTCCCTTGGGCTCTGTGGGCACGATACCAGGTCTCCAAGACCCTCGCTGGTGTAGGTATAGCACTGAATACTAGAGCAGAACTAACTCTCCTAGACAGGATCGCAGTAGATAGTCGCCTGTGCGCTATCCGACTGAACGAAACAGTAAGCATTCGGAAAGGCAGTGACATTCGTCGTTGCCTCCGCCTACCCTCCCACTGAATGCAGCTCAAAAGAGGTGAAAGATGAGTTTTACAGAAAGCATTCGGACCTCCTCCAAAAGGTTAGGCGCTAGGATGTAGTAATAATGGCTGGTGACTTTAATGCTCAAGTAGGTAGACTAAGTGAGCAGGAAAGACACCTGGGTGGTATTTACGGTGCCGCGGCTCAGGGAACAGACAATGGCGACCGTCTGTTGCACATATGCTCAGATAACCGCCTATTCCTAGCAAACACTAACTTTAGGCATAAGGAAAAACATCTTTTGACCTGGCGACCCCCGAAATCGTGTCAACGATGGACCCAACTAGATCAAGTCACCATCAGCAAACGATGGACGGCTTCGATGGAAGAATGTCGCTCGTTCTGGGACACATGTTTAGATTCAGATCATGCTCTAGTGCGAGTGCGTTTTGTTTGCAACTTACTACACGTAAGAAAGACACCACAAAAAAACCTGTTACGGTTCTACTTAATGATAGAATAGCTAAGAATGGATTTCAGGAACAATTAGAAATACAGTTAGGTGGCCGTGTAAGTGATTCCCATCCGGAGGCAGCTTGGAATGATATCCGAAAAGCTGCAGAAACAGCAGTGATATCCGCTAGTAAGGTAAACCATAAGGCTAGGGAGAAGCCGTGGATCTCAGTAGAATCAACCTATAGACGCTTGGGAACTCATCCCGTATATCTCTGACTACGATGAGTAGCGAAGTCAGCTTAAGCACAGGTTGATAGAAAGCCTACGCAATGACCGCGAACAGTGGTGGATTGCGAAAGCAAGAGCGATGGAAAAGACAGAGGCCAAAGGCAACAGTAAGCAACTAGTCACACTTATCAAGAAAACCGGTATTAGCAATCCGAATGTGAGTGAGACCATTTCGGAAAAGGATGGAACTATTATTATTATTATTATTATTATTATTATTATTATTATTATTCAATCCAGGAGATTGGATCGATGGGCAGAACACTTCGGGGATCAGTTCGATTCGCCTTCAGACACACTTCGGTTACCCACGATCTCCAGTCATCCTGAATGACAAGTCGACGTAAGCCCTCCGAGTCTTTATGAAGTTGAAAAGGCTACAGGAAATCTGAATCGATGGAAAGCAGCAGGACCTGATAGATTTACCCCTGAGATTTTTAAGGATGGTGGTCCAGTTTTAACAGTTAGATTGACTGAGACCTTAAAATGTGTAATCTGGGCATAATCCCATCTTACTGGTCTCAATCACTGATGGTCCCAATTTATAAGAAAGGACAAATGTCCTCTTGTGAGAATCACAGAGCAATCAGTCTAAAGAACATAGTATCTAAAATATGGACCTCAATAATACGCGGACACCTAAATAGGGCTCGTGAAGAGCATACTCGAGGAAACAAGGCTATTTTCAGACCTGGATGTGTAGACCACATATTCACACTACGACATGTCCTAGAACAAAGACACACATTTAGGCGTCCAACAACAGTTGTCTTCCTGGACTTTAGAGCGGCATTTGACTCTGTCGATCGTGAGATTACCAGAGAAATACCTTAACCTTATAAAGGCTCTCTAGTCGAACACCACTGGACGAGTGGCAGCTCTAGGATTTGAAGTGCCAGTTGGGTCTGTGCTGATGTGGAATGGCTACCTGAACTGATTTACGTACGTACGGAGTTCGAAGTTGTATCCGTCTGTCTGCCTGTAATCATATTATTCACCAGACAGTTTGGTAAGGATAAAAATGAACTTTAATTTACTCACTTTAATTAAGGACGCTAAGTAATCCAAAAAGTATAGCTCAGGACCTGTCTGAGGGTCAAATCCAGCGATAAGTAGATTAACAAAGTACGGTGACTGCTCTATAAGAAATACATAAAACTCCATCTTACCCGACTACGAAGAGATTCTGCCATATTGTTTCTGGTAAAATTGGCAGCTGAACTAGGAGTTAACTCGTACCCTAAAGCAAAGTTAGTGGATTTAAACAGATTACCGTTTCTTATTTCATACAACTGCATGTTTTGTTGAACGAATTCCGAAAACTGAGAAGTGTCACCAGACTCACCACAAACAGCAGCAAGAACTCGTTTACTGAATTTGAACATCTTGCGCTCATCGTGTTTAATGGTAAGAATTGAGTGAGCGCACCGCATGTCGGCCGCTAACAACACAAAATCGTTCATCTTGATACCTATTATACACTCCATTACTCGAACAACAATGATGAGTCAAGTGATCCAAAAAAGCCGGTTTCTCATCCGACCTTGAGTGGATTCCAGCCTTTGATCCAAAGAACGAAAATCGTGTCATTTGAGGAATTAGTGCAGTTTAATGTTGTGCGTGTAACTGATTTAATCTTGAAAACAGGGGCAGTGATGACTATATAATATGCTCTATCTCAAGATTTTACTGTTTTCAAATTCTCATGAAGCATTCAGTTGACAGAAATGATTGTGTAAAAGTATGACTTGTTCGACAGAGATATCAGTTTATTTTCGATAAACAAAAGGTGTTAACTAATAATAAAATTTCGGGACAAAATTCTACCTAATCCTGCGACAGAAAGCCTTATTTTGTAAGTTTTCGGTTGTTGAGACATTTTTGGAAAATAAAGGCGAACCAGAACTAGATGTGTAGTGGAACACTTTAGTGAAGAGAATGCGATTGGTGTAATGGAAGCATTTATTGTTGTAACAAATTGTGCCAGTGATTTTTTTACTGTACCTGTTTGATAAATTGTACCGAAAACTATCTACTTACCCTTGATGTGGCCTTGGGCTTGATCACGTTCTCTCGGTAGTCTCGTCTGTAAAAGTTGACACGATCTTGGCATTATTTCGAGACCACGAGGTCGTCAACAAATATATTCTGACTGCAGCCATAATTGGCATCCTAATTTCAGCCTGTGGAGGGATTTACCTTGGCTATTGGCGTTATAATGTCTCATTGCGCTACAGATGAACCACGAAGTATTACAAAATATGTATTGATCTGTAACATATATGCGCTGGGATTCCCCAGTAAACTGTAAGAACAGATCGAGGTTGTAACTTTGTTGTTTGGGTTGTCAAAAGTTAGTCGAATAAGCAGTTGCTGATTACAACATCATATCCAAAGTGGGTATTTAATTTTTAACCACATGTAGACGTTAAGTTTGCTGTTATCGCATCTTTAGTGTTGAGAGGATTGTTTGTTTTAATCTTAAACTCAGTTCACTGTACTGCTGAACTAAATCACAAGAAAACCTGCTGTAACCACATGGCTGGCTCCGATATATATACTGGAGGTGCAAACCAAGATTTAACATCGGTCAGCTATTCTTTTTATATATGGTATTATTTGTTTTCCCTATCAAGTTGAACCTTCTGATAAATTGTTAAATACATTTATACATTTATTATAGCGTATTTCTAGTGCTAGAAAATTTTTGCCCTTATTCATATGTCTCTGATGTTTTTTATTTTATACCATAAAATATCAGGCTCCATTCAAAATGAAGCTCAAGAAAATGAGTGTAATATTCGTCAAACAAGTTTCTGACTACTGAAATCTGGTAGCAAAGATAAGGGGTTAAGGTCCTCAGGATAATAAAAGTTTTCTGTGAAGCATGAGATAAAACCTCCGCCTGTAGACCCTATAGGGCTACTGCCGGTCCCGAGCCCGGATAAATGAGGGTGTTGGGTATGAGGTTGGCGCCCCCATCACAACTAAAAACTAACTTTCCGAAAAAATGCTAGCCCGGGAGAAATAATTCGAACTATTTTCACTCTGCCCTGGGAGTTGGAAGAAGAATTCTGACGTCTCCTGATGAAAGCCGAGTTCTCTCGGAAGTCACGGGGCTGATGCCTCTTCTGACAGCCAGCGCAATCATTCTTTTAGGTACATGGAACGTTTGTACTTTGTGGGAGACTGAAAGAATATTTCAAGTTGCTACAGAAATGAGAAAATACAACCTGGAGGAGCTTGTAATCAGTGAAACGCATTGGACATAGGTAGGAAAACTGAGACTAGCTTCAGGGGAACTGAAGCTGAACAAGCACTAAAGGCACTGATAGGATGGGAATCTCATGAACACACAATCATTAAAGCATCCTTCAAAACAAAGAAAGGGGACATTACAATGAACGTCAGCCAATGTTATGCACCTACCAATGACTACAATGACGACGTTAAAGATCATTTCTACGAAAAGCTGCAGTCAATCGTTGGCAGATGCTCACCAAAGTACTTGATCATTTTGATGGGCGACCTAAATGCCAAGGTTGGCATGGGCAACACTGGATATGAATATATCATGGAATGACATTGACTGAGAGAAAGGAACGAAAACGATGAGAGATTTGCAAGCCTATGTGCATTCAAAAAACTGGACATCGGTGGCACAATATTCACGCACAAACGCATACACAAAGTCACATGGATTTCACCGGATTACACTACTCAGAACCAAAACGACCATATCTGTATCAACAAAACGTTCAGAAGGACCATGGAGGATGTGAGAACCAAGAGAGGAGCTGATCTAGCATCAGATCACCACTTGCTGGTCGCTAAAATAAAACTGAAACTCGAGAAACACTGGATAGCGAGGCAAACAGCGTCACACAAGTTTAATACGGCCTTTCTTAGGGATACCGTAAGACTCAACGAATTCAGGATAGCCCTCACCAATAGGTTCCAGGCCTTGCACGATATACTCAATGGAGAGGAAAAAACCTCGGAGAACAGTTGGAGAGGGATCAAAGAAGCAATCACTTCAACATGTCAGAAGGTTCTGGGTCACAAGAAGCAGCATCTCGAGGAATGTATCTGTGCTGGTACTCTTGAAAAAATTGAAGAAAGGAGGAACAAGGGGGCAGCAATCAATGTCAGCCGAACGAGAGCAGAGAAAGTTCCCGCACAAGCTGCATACACAGAAGCAAACAGGGAAGTGAAGAGCATCAGTGCTGAATAACGGAAATATGTGGAAGATCTAGCAATGACGGCGGAAAAGGCTTCAAGAGACAGGAACTTGAGACAATAGTATGAAACAACAAAGAAGCTGTCCGGAAACTATCGTAAACCAGAACGACCAGTGAAAAGCAAGCAAGGCAAAGTAGTCAGCAAAACTGAAGAACAGCAAAACAGATGGGTAAAGCACTTAAAGGAACTCCTGAATCGACCAGCTCCACTGAACCCACTCAACACCGAAGCAGCATCCACGGACCTCCAAATCGACGTTGGCGCACCAACAATTGCAGAGATCAGCATGTCCATCAGACAAATCAAGAGCGACAACGTAGCAGAACCAAACAACATTCCAGCAGAGGCAATGAAAGCAGATGTGGAAGCAACTGCAAATATATTTCACATTCTGTTCAACAAGATTTGGGATGAGGAACAAGTACCATCAGATTGGAAAGAAGGATACCTGATAAAAATACCAAAGAAAGGCGACCTGAGCAAGTGTGAGAACTACAGAGGCATCACTCTTCTCTCAATACCAGGCAAAGGTTTCAACAGGGTATTGTTAAACAGAACGAAGGACCTCGTAGACGTCCAACTTCGAGATCAATAGACTGGATTCCGTAAGGATCGATCGTGTTCCGACAAAATTGCTACACTACGGATCATTGTGGAACAATCAATAGAATGGAACTTACCACTCTAGATCAACTTCATCGACTACGAGAAAGCATTAGATAGCGTGGATCGAAAAACACTGTGGAAGCTTCTTCAAAACTACGGTGTGCTTGAAAAGATCGTTAAAATCACACAAAATTCTTATGATGGATTAAACTGCAGAATCATGCACGGAGGTCACCTGACAAGCTTGTTCGAGGTGAAGACCGGTGTCCGGCAAGGTTGCTTACTTTCACCCTTTCTCTTTCTTCTGGTGATCGATCGGATTGTGATGTCAACACCTGGAGGGAATCACGGTATCCAATGGACAGTTAGGATGCAGATGGACGATCTGGACTTCGCAGGTGATCTGGCTCTTCTATCACACACGTGACAACAAACACAAGAGAAAATTACTAGTGTAGCAGCAGCATTAGCAGCAGTAGGTCTCAAACAACACACACAATTGGAAAAGAAAGATTCTGCGATGCAACACAACATGCGCCAACCAAATCACTCTTGATGGAGATGCCTCGGAGGACTTTAACACCTTTCCATATCTGGGCAGCATCATCGACAATCAAGGTGGATCCGATACAGATGTGAGAGCGACAAAGCAAGGGCTGCATTTCTACAATTGAAAAACATCTGGAACTCAAAACAACTATCAACCAACACCAAAATCACGATTATCAATACAAATATCAAGACAGTTCTACTGTATGATTTGGAGACAACACCTTGTGTAAAAAGGTCCTTAAACAGAAATAGGTGCAGGCTTACTCATGCTCTATGTAACTCAGTTGGGATGTAAAAGACTTAAGGACTTCTTGAACCACGTTAGCATGAATTGCAGACATAGGTGCTACAACTAATTCATGACATATTATATTAAAAATGAAGAAGCAACAGGCAACCCAGTTTTGTCAGGACCCATCTCGAGCATCAAAAGTCTTTCATAGACTGTCGAAAGATGTTAATAGCTCAAAGAAACTACAGCGGGTCACCGCAACAAATTTAGTCAAGATAGGTCAAAATACCAAGATGATCCAGACATTTATGTTCAAGTTGGGCATTATGCATCCAACAGGCATCCCCCTAAATATAATCTCGAACCAAAACTAACTCAGACGGAGGCTGTATGAAGATTATGGGACTCACAATGGTCAAACCATACCAGACAACTCCCAGTACCTCACAACCAAGACTCCAGAATGGATTGCTGGGTATGAGGGTAGTGACTAAAATTGGCCTGGTCATTGCATGTCACAATATTCCAGTATCTGAGAAAGATACTCCTAAGATCATTGTTACCATGAAGTTTGTTTAAATAGAACATCAGAGGGTGCCAATTGGCCGAATAAACGCGGCAAAAATGTTTTGAAGTTTTATGTGCAATCTGTTTCTGAATGTACTTTTGCCAAAGGATATGTAGACGATTTATTGATCACCGGTCCGGACTCAGCGTCATATCAATGACCTGTTTGAGCTGTTTTCAAACAGCCAGATGGAAACGTAATAAACATTTGTCAGGGCATGTTTTCGGAGTCCGAACTTTAGAAAATCTCGGACATAAAATACACCATGATCTGTGGATTATCGCATCTTCCCTTAACAAATAGCTGTAGTCATAACACAAAGCAGCTTCCGGGCTAACGTAATGGTAGGATATTTTCATTCAGCTAAAAGCTGCTTCAGTATAACAATCAAACCATAATCATAGGATGGGACTCTTACCATTAGTTTAATCATGAGTAAGAACAGCTTTTAAAACTAATTTTTCACGCTCGGTGGCAGAAGCAGTTTTCTGAAAACGTTTAGGGGGAGTTTATCAGCCCTTGTGTTAGAAGTGAAATACTCGACCAAGCAAGCTACATGGATCGACTACCAGAATAAACGTTCAGACTTAAACCAGTTAATGCTCGTGACCATTCGTGAGCCACATACATAGCAAAGGATATTAGCACCTGTAATAATAGCTCCGCTTACAAAGGACCATTAAGGTTAGTCCTAAGCAAACCTTAATATTTAGCTGGAAAAACACTTCTAAACAATGTCTCGATAAGTATTGGCAACTTAAAGCCAGCCTATATAAGTAATGAACCACCATATATGCATTAGACCGTTAAACAACCAAATGATAACAGAGTCACCCAATCAGAACCTTCGTACGTGACCGAAAAGTTTAGGAGATCAAAACTAATTATTCGCCCCAGTATGGGTATTGACTGGAAGTCAAGTTTCATCATGGGTCACGATGCTCATGCCACTTCTGACAATCACAGCAACCGATAATATAGCTACATCGAAAGTTCGCTTAATGTATGAGTCTGGAGGAACCATTCAAGTTGCAGAGGAAGTACAATAAAACAACGCGGTGTTACTTGCAATAAATGAAATACAATGAACTCTGGCTGGACGAAAAAATGCTTGGCCATGAAGAATAAAATGCCACACACCCAAGGAATGGCGCTGATGATGTCCAAATAAGTCTAAAAAGTACTGAACGGATAGGAACCTGACGGGCACAGGATCATCGAGTCATTTTCAAGGCAACGAAAAACGGGATCTCAGTGAATACAGTTCAGTGCTACGCGCTTATCAACGATAACAGTGCGAATTATTATAACCAATCCGACGATAGGCTGCAGCCAGTCAATGAGAAATGTTTAGCAAAGGACTTGACAATTCCGATGGAAGACCTGAGCACCGAGGTTGTAATGGACAAGATATCATTGGACGACGCAGAATGGAAGAAAAAAAACGAAAACGGTAGAATATTCGCAAACCCGTGTACTTTCAACAAGCTAGTCATAGGCGCATGAAATTGCCACACATGCGCATACACAAAGTGACATAGGCTACATTGGATCACACTATACACAGTACTACGCAGAACTACGAAAGCCATAATCCCAAAGCCATATGTTTTTGTTAATAACTGTCTATGCAAGATGCTGAGGATCCATTGTTCAGACACCATCAGCAGCAGACTACTATGGAAGGGAACGAATCAGGTTCCAGAAGAATATAGACCTTCCGGCCTGTTTGGATGTGCGAGGTGAATCCTTACATTTCAAAGGCATATCTAGAAATAACACTACTCGTGCTATAATTATCTGGTCTAACCAATTGTAATTATTCTTATACTCTCAAGAAACCAAATACAAAGTTTTATAGTACATCTTTTATCTCCAACGCCGATCGTCTTCATACCGAACATGCCTACTACAACTATTTGTTCTTGTGATTTTGAAGCTAAAAATTTCACTGAATTTTTCCAGGACTAACGCACATTTTTTGATCTCCTACATACCTAACATACTTACATGAATTAAATACCACTTGTCTAATGCTCACCCCCGTCTAAATTTATATTTTTTCCTTATAACTCCTAATCAGAAACTTTTCGAACACGCAAATTTTCATGATCTTACGACCGTACCCCATTCGTCTTCTCACATTGTTTTTGTTGTCTTCATACCAGCTCATTATTTCTTCCCACCCACTGCCATAAAAGCCGTTATTTTTAACTTTTTTCGGCATCCCATTTGTACTTTTGAGTTTCATTATCTAGTTCAGCACTTTCTTGAAATTAACCGAAACTAATTATTCTCCAGTAATGTCCAAGAAAACAGTAATGGCTCCTTACCTAGAGCGCAAAGCAAAGTATAGGAAAAGAACTCGATCTAATAACATGACGGACACTATTTTTAACAGTTTTCAGAAGTTTGTGCTGATGATGTTGTTCAGAAGAAAAATGAAAGCTCCACAACCAAAACAACCAGCTCAGAGAACGAAACACCACCACATTATTTATGAGTTTTCATGGAAAATTTTAGCCATCTATGAGGAGCAAATGTATCTTGTGAAATATGTACGTAACTGAACAACCTTTTACATGAAATATATTTGAACATTTTGATCTTGTTTGTAAATTGGTATGCCTCTTGGAACATGTTGCTATTTGAGAATAAAATTATTATTATTATTAAAACTATTCAGTTCCAACACACGTAGATGAAATTGAATTCATCAGCTTCTGGGATACCACCAGACACAAACAGATTATCGGAGAAGTTATGATTTATCAGATAGAACTTCGTGTTAATGGAAGACGGGAAAAGCTAATTAAAGCGCACTATCATCATGGTGCCAAGCATATCTAAACTGTGAATTTAAATGAGTTAAGTCTAGTTCCGAAAGAATCTCTGAGTTAAAAATACTCATTCGAATCCGAAATATCCAAAACACGATAGTAAGTGATCCCATAGTAACTGGTATACCTTTCTTCCGAAAGTGCTGATGTAGATCTGTCTTTAAATGATTGAACTAATAAGAGCTCAGATAATACTGATAAAATTTCTTTCCGTGAAACATAGTAATCTAGGTCAAATGCATTGTGTTACAATTGAAATATTATATATAGAGTGGGCATTTATTTTCACACTTTATGTAGGAGCTACATTTTTTATATTATCTTATTTTAAATAGTGGGACGCCTAATAGGTTTAATCAAAACATCCTACTCAGTTGCGCTGGTGAACATGAATGAATAAAGACCTACTGGCTTCTGGTATACATATATAAAGGTAAAAATTCAGAATAGTTGTACTAAATTATTAACCTGTGTTGCAAAATTTGGGAACTGTGACTCCATAGCTTCGGTCTTTCGAATAAACTTGATAAAAAGCAAATCTCTAGTACCGAATAAAATGAATCCTAGAAGACAAAAAGTAAGAACATATTTTGTTGAAAATTCAAGCGCATCAAGTTAGACAACTAGATACAGATCCATGCACTGTGAAAAATATCCAAATACAATATGACCAAGGACTCATCATTAGCTAAGGCCTGAAATCTATTGCACGTTACTTGCGATAGCTGCCAAATATTCCCAAACCCTTTGTTAATAATGTACGGCCTATATTCATGACGATTAGGGGACATATTTTACTCCGTGTATAATGTCTGTTCGCTTTCAACACGTAGGTGGTCCGTATCAAGAAAAGACAACATGTTTGAAAAGAACCAGGGGTCACTTACTCATCATTTTTCAATTACCAAGTGATTAATATGCATTTGACATGATCACATTTTCACACTGAAGGTTATATAGACTGTAGTCCTATTCGTAGTGAAACTGGAAGTGAAGCATTGGAAGACTGAATATGTACATAAAAAGACTAGATAAATCTGACATTAGGTAATAAAATTTCATTGGCTAAGCAGATTTGTAAAAGTCGAAATTTAAATTCGAGGCATTATTCTACATTACTTATTACAACCTCTTGACAGAGCGCGTGATTAGGTTCCCATCGCTTACTATAGTGTCAGTTAGGCGTTAACACCACACATTTTGGGGAAAATCACAGACCTAAATAGATTTTTGTTTCGCCCAAAATTTTTAATCCGCGTTTCTCATAATTGACCAATTTTGTCCTAAATTCTGGAGCTTGAGGCAACAAGGCCCACCATGCTCTACAGTAAACTTAATAAATAATAGCTTGATGCTAAATGGATTTGTAGTGTGAAACTTGTTCTAAATGTTTCAGAGTTTGGTTTCGCCATGTATATTTTACTGTTTTAGAGTTTTTTGAGGTTGAAAAATGGGTGGGTTTTTATTTATGTATTGATGTAAATTTTAACGTTCCTACACCAAGACACTAGTAAATCAAGACACAACGATAGTACTTACTGAGGAGTTATACATATTGGTAGCTGAATCCTCCAATCTGCTTGATGAAAAATGATCGGAACCATTATCCTAGATCTATTTAACGTATCTTAAGTAGGGTATTATTTAACATTACTTTTTCGTAACATTACTTTTCGTACTTTCGTAACTTAAGTATTGCTCCCAGTTATTGTCGGTCAAAATACTCTGGAAACTGTCACTATCTGTAAGCTTCCTTGTGTTCCTTACAATATAACCATTTGTTTTCATCAGTAAGTCGCCAATGGCCAGAACTTCCTTGTCGAACAATCGTCAGTTCACTCACGAGACCGAATTGATCGAAATCAAATCAAATATTCACTTGGACACAAGAATTTTGTAGGAAGTTTTACTTCAAAACTTACGAATAACCAGAATACAAACTTCAAGTTCCTGAGGTTTTACTATGTTCAGTCATGCTTAAATAGCCAACCTTTAAACGCGTCTTTCATTTAGTGTCTTTTCTCATGAACGCTCTATATTTCTGTACTTATGAAAGTCCTATTCTTTTCAGGTAGTAACAAAGGATTTCGATGAAAAGCGTTGAGAGGTTAGTTTCTAGAGTGTATTTTGTATGATTTGATGAGTAGAGCTCCTGCATTTGTGTCCGTAATCAAGAAACTTATCCAAACGATCTTGCTTTTTTCTTGCTATTCTTTGGTAGAATTACTTAAAAGCGAAAATGATAAATGCGAGGAATTTTTTCGTGATGAAATTGAAAGATTACCCACTTGATTAATTCAGACGACATTTTCTCTTGACTACAGACCGATTTCTGGCATTCATGTCAGCTCTATATATTTACCCATTTATCTTATAGAGCTTTTTCTATTTTATTTAAGCGCACTAACGATAGTGCAAGTAGATAACCTAAATATATTTGTGTCAAGAAATTTATTGGGTTTTGTGAGTGGGCTGGAATACTGCCAGGATGCCCAAAACCGAAGTAAGTGTTTTTCTTGATAGGTCTCACCCCGAGCTTTGATCCAAAAATCTAATCTACAAGGTAGTGAAGCAACGTCAAGAGATCCTGTTCCATTGCAGCTGACGACCAACATTAGATTCACACGCCACTTTTACCTCAGGAACCTAGAGCCCATTTAGACCGTTGGTTTGAAATCAGGTTTTCGGAACTCTTCCAAGTGAATCCTTCATATCCACTAACCTGGTTTAAGCCTCAGCTGGGAATTTGCCATTTACCCTCTCAACTTAATTAAGAACACCTGCGATGCAAGCAGATAGTGAGTAGGGTTCCCCAATCAGTAGCTATATACGCTTGCTAACGTGAAAGCATTTCGAGGGGGGTTGAATTTTTGACCTATCTGTGTTAGGGCCTTCGTCCGCTCTCTTGCTATATTCTCTTGTACCGAGATTTCCTACAAGGAAATCATCCTAAGTGAATTTTCATTCACTCAGTCAGTTTCAACGTAGAACTTCGTAAGTAAGTACATAAGTTCAGGTTGTCACACCATATCAGCACAGAGCTATAATTGTCAATTCAAATACCATGGTAGTAGAGGTAGTAGAAGTATTATCAGTAATTGGAGAAATAAGGGTTTGAGGGTATTATTCAAGCAGTATAATCTAGTGAAATAAATATAAAAAGAAAAAGATAAAGGTGATAAGAAATTCAGAAGGTTAGGGTTTGACAGAATACGTGTCGTGTCGTAACGACAGGATCGCTTACTCGGTGGTCGCAGGATACACGAATATGGCTTCGAAGAGATGTATAAACAAATAGAAATAACCTACGAATGTTTTTTACTCTTATCGGCCATGTTTCACAGCCATATAGTAGGACGAAGCGAACTGCTGCATAGTACACTCGTCCTTTAGTCAGCAAAGGGATATTTCGCCTTCGTCATACGCGGCGCAAGTTGGCAAAAGCCAATCGAGCCTTCTGTATCCGTGCTGAGATTCCGTCAGTCACTAGGCCATCAGCACTGATGAGACTACCGAGGTAAGTGAAGCGGTCATCACGCCGAACTACTTTACCTTCCAGTGCTAGTTCACATGCCGATACAAGCCAATCTTGAAGCAACATTTTGCATATTGAGGGGGGAGAATCGCATCCCGAACATGCTTGCGTTGTTGCTTAGGGTAGTCAGGAGACACTGCATTTTGTCAGCGTCTTCACCAAGTACAACTATGTCATCAGCATACTCTAAGTCAACAAGCGTGTCTCCTGGAAGAAAGTCCACTTCTGAAGAGTCAGACGAAGATAATGTTAACACTAAAAGCCTGTCTACGACAAAGTTAAACAAGAATGGGGGGAGTGGACAGCCCTAATCGACCACTTGAAGTAATGAATTCCGATTACAGTTCGTCATATGCTCCCACTCGTCCAGTGGTGTTCGACTAGAGAGCCTTTATAAGGTTAAGGTACTTCTCTGGTAATCTCACGATCGACAGAGTCAAATGCCGCTCTGAAGTCCAGGAAGAGAACTGTTGTTGGACGCCTAAATGTGCGTCTTTGTTCTAGGACATGTCGTAGTGTGAATATGTGGTCTACACATCCAGGTCTGAAACCAGCCCTGTTTCCTCGAGTATGCTCTTCACGAGCCATATTTAGGTGTCCGCGTATTATTGAGGTCCATATTTTAGATACTATATTCTTTAGACTGATTGCTCTGTGATTCTCACAAGAGGACATTTGTCCTTTCTTATAAATTGGGACCATCAGTGATTGAGACCAGTAAGATGGGATTATGCCCAGATTACACATTTTAAGGTCTCAGTCAATCTAACTGTTAAAACTGGACCACCATCCTTAAAAATCTCAGGGGTAAATCTATCAGGTCCTGCTGCTTTCCATCGATTCAGATTTCCTGTAGCCTTTTCAACTTCATAAAGACTCGGAGGGCTTACGTCGACTTGTCATTCAGGATGACTGGAGATCGTGGGTAACCGAAGTGTGTCTGAAGGCGAATCGAACTGATCCCCGAAGTGTTCTGCCCATCGATCCAATCTCCTGGATTGAATAATAATAATAATAATAATAATAATAATAATAATAATAATAATAATAATAGTTCCATCCTTTTCCGAAATGGTCTCACTCACATTCGGATTGCTAATACCGGTTTTCTTGATAAGTGTGACTAGTTGCTTACTGTTGCCTTTGGCCTCTGTCTTTTCCATCGCTCTTGCTTTCGCAATCCACCACTGTTCGCGGTCATTGCGTAGGCTTTCTATCAACCTGTGCTTAAGCTGACTTCGCTACTCATCGTAGTCAGAGATATACGGGATGAGTTCCCAAGCGTCTATAGGTTGATTCTACTGAGATCCACGGCTTCTCCCTAGCCTTATGGTTTACCTTACTAGCGGATATCACTGCTGTTTCTGCAGCTTTTCGGATATCATTCCAAGCTGCCTCCGGATGGGAATCACTTACACGGCCACCTAACTGTATTTCTAATTGTTCCTGAAATCCATTCTTAGCTATTCTATCATTAAGTAGAACCGTAACAGGTTTTTTTGTGGTGTCTTTCTTACGTGTAGTAAGTTGCAAACAAAACGCACTCGCACTAGAGCATGATCTGAATCTAAACATGTGTCCCAGAACGAGCGACATTCTTCCATCGAAGCCGTCCATCGTTTGCTGATGGTGACTTGATCTAGTTGGGTCCATCGTTGACACGATTTCGGGGGTCGCCAGGTCAAAAGATGTTTTTCCTTATGCCTAAAGTTAGTGTTTGCTAGGAATAGGCGGTTATCTGAGCATATGTGCAACAGACGGTCGCCATTGTCTGTTCCCTGAGCCGCGGCACCGTAAATACCACCCAGGTGTCTTTCCTGCTCACTTAGTCTACCTACTTGAGCATTAAAGTCACCAGCCATTATTACTACATCCTAGCGCCTAACCTTTTGGAGGAGGTCCGAATGCTTTCTGTAAAACTCATCTTTCACCTCTTTTGAGCTGCATTCAGTGGGAGGGTAGGCGGAGGCAACGACGAATGTCACTGCCTTTCCGAATGCTTACTGTTTCGTTCAGTCGGATAGCGCACAGGCGACTATCTACTGCGATCCTGTCTAGGAGAGTTAGTTCTGCTCTAGTATTCAGTGCTATACCTACACCAGCGAGGGTCTTGGAGACCTGGTATCGTGCCCACAGAGCCCAAGGGACAACTGTTTTTATTTTTATGAGGAGTTTTTAAAGTGTTATTTCGGTTCTTGTTTAAAATGCCTCACCTCTGGAGACGAAAATCCGTGAGGTAAGGTGAGGTGTAACATTTTTAGGGTTGCCCTTTTCTAACGCTTCCTTTCTTGTGAGAAGGCAGCATCGCTGAAGATGCTGGTTGTCCGAGGGAAACACCTTACTGCTGTTACACCCTTCTGCAGTCAGCAGTACGACCTCATCCTTAGACCTAGAGTAGATGCTTTTAGTCTCATCGTTCTCCAATCGACCTGCCTGGCATGGTAGAACATTAAGGTACATATGTTCCAGCCGATATATCTCGGTTGGGTCATCACGATAGGCAAGCTGGACCACTATGTCAAGGTAGCTGCTCTGGTCGGGACAGTGAATTTTAATTGACCTATTTTCCATTTATTATGATGTTCATTTGTAAACAGATTTTTGGATTCGATGTTGAGCTGCTTTTTATACTTTGTGTTCTAGTAATACTACCCAGTAACCCAAACTAAAGTGGCTAAAGCGCTCTACCTAGAAAGTGAATGTCGAACACTTTAACTATGCCACTACTCCACTCTTTAATCATGTGGTGCCTATGTAAACTTAATAATTCGTGCTACTTTTTATTTTAATGTGGTCAGTTTACTTTTAGTAACCAGAATGTGCCAATGTTAGTTGAACATACTATAAAATTATTCTGTTTCCTATTTGATGTTTTGACTGATTAGTCTTATACCTTCTTTCAATATGATTTCAATTCGTATTTACTGTTTTTTACACTAGGCCCATCCCGTAAGAAGTTGAGGGTTACTGGTTACAAACCCTGTAGTTTTTTGTGTAAATTAGATGACATCGTTTCAGCTGTTTCTGTCGTAAGGTTACAAAATTTATTATAGCCACCATTAAACCTACTTTTTCCTGCTTTCAAATCGTGCAGTTCTATGATTGCCATTAATCTTCGGTTGAATTCTTTCTTTGATCACAAGAACGTTTACTAAATGTGTTGATTTATTTGCATATTGTGTGATAATTAAAGTTTTTCTAATTAGTCGATTTCACATATGATATTGATGGGTATGTTTTAAAATGAAATTTCAAACACCTTAAATTCTCATTCTTCAGGCTATCTCTAATACTCTCTACAACATATTTAAATTCACATTTACGTTTATTATCTTCCAGCTACGATGCTCAGGACACTGTAAAGCTTATCTACTGCATTTTGGATGAAATTGCTGGAAGTGTAGATCACCTAGGGGAATGTCAGTTTACTGGTCTATTGCCCCTTCTTTCCCGAGTTGAGAGTACATTTAAGTATCGTCATTATCAACTTTCACAAGCTTTGACATCTGTTCTCATGGATGGTGAGTCTTGTTGGATATTATTACTTTGAATTTCCCTCAACATTGATAAGTCATTTTGGTGTGAGCTAGTTATACACTGAAATGAGGAAACATTTATTCAAGCTATAGGATACTTAATCGATTCATAAATGACCGTTAGGTTGATGTTTCTATTTAAACAGGTTGCTTAAGTGTCACTGAGTTAGCAAAATAAACGCATTGTCTGTTTATTAGAATTTTTGAAATTTAAATGCTATTTCAGTGACCGAAATGATATAATCTAATTCAAGTTGCTGATCTGTCATATTACTATCCTTATATGTAAAGTAAGAACTATGTATATTTACCGTCTGATATTAGTTTAATAGTTGGCAAGCAACTTACCAGCTATGTTTTGGCGATTAGTCACTAATCAATATCTCTCTCATGTCACAGAACACAAGGTAGTGTCAGTATTACCACATGAAACTAACCACCACACTGGCAGATAAACTTATTTGTTTGTTTCATTAGTTATCTCTGTTTTATAATTTGACTGGTGCAATAAAACCCTTTATACTTTTCCTCCTCAAATACTTCTTAAACTATCGACTTCACATTTTGCTTCAGGATTGGTTTACGTCGGCACCTGAACTAGTGATAAGGAGTAAAGTAGTTGAACCTGTCGACCGCTCCACTTATCTTGAATGTCTCATCAGTCCTGATGGCCTGGTGTTTGACAAAATCTTGGAACGAATGCAGAAGGCTCGGTTGGCTTTTGCTAACTTGCGTGACTGGGCGTAAGCGAGATATCCGTCTGCTAACCGAAAGACGAGTTTACTGCTCAGCAATTCTCTCTCTCTTACTATAAGAGTGTGAAACATGGCCGGTAAGAGTAGAGGATATTCGTACGTTACTAGTATTCGATCATAAGTGCATCCATTTTTGTGTCCTCTCAAATCCTAATCTTCTGAATTCCTCATCACCTTTATCTTTCTTTTTTTAAGTTTGTTTCACTAGATTATACTTCCTGAATAATATCGTCAAACCCCAAGCTTCTCCATTACCGCTAATACTTCTATTACCTCTGCTATAGTGGGATTTGATTTGGAAATTGCGTCTCTGAGCTAATGTGATATGGCAGTGTAAACCGATGTACAGTACATAGGTTTGAAGTTCTACGTTGTGACTGAATGACTGTCTGATTCGATTTTAGGTGTCTTAGAAGCATTGCTTATATATCCTTGGATCACTGAATAAGCAGTGCCTTTAGGAAAAGACTACTGGGTAAGGATAACTGAACCATGTTAGTAGGTGGGGGTCCGCGAGGCAATCGTACCTGGTGGTTAGAGGCTTTGATTGACATGGCTCAAAATCGCTTGCGATGGTGCAGATTCATCCATTATTTTCTTATCTCGAATTTCTTATGAATGTTTTACCCTTTTTAAATTTATTTCACTTCTCGACTTGTATATTCAATCCTTGATCTCGATTACTGCTGATACTGCTACTACCTCTACTACAATGGGATTTGAGTTAATAATTCGATCTCTATGTTAGTGTGGTGTATCAACTTGAACTGATGTACGTACCTACGAAGTTCTACGTTGTAGATGAATGAATGATTGACCGACTTCACATCATTATCAGCATATTACATGTATTCATATCAATCGAGGTATTTACAAACCTAAATTAACCTCAAGTTTATTCCGTCATAGTTCCTACAAAGTGTATCAATGTAAACTATAATTTTCTTCAATCTGAAACAGTTAACAAAAAGAGGGAGAATATGACGAAACGAAATGCTATTCACTATGTCTTCTAGCAGCAGAGGTATGATAGGATTGTAAAACCAGTTTGTCTTTCGCTACTAACTTACAATTTAACAACTTACATTTTCGTGAATCTACTGACACTAACAAAATTTTTCTTAGAATATAATTTAACAGTTTAGTATAGAAAATCAAAACTAAAATTAATCTCCACTCAGTTGTTGATTTATCTATATCTCTAGTCAGTATCATTTTTTAATTATTTTCAATAGATTTCTCCACATGGTGTATCTATCGTCTAGTTGTGATTGCCTGTCGTCCACAGTTCACATACCATTTACAAGTTGTTGGTGATCTGATGAGGTCGCTCATGCTACTTCTTGAAAGACATCACTTGAAAACATATCTCAAACACGCTGTACATTTAGTGTCTGTTCTTAACGGTAACTATCTTTATAGTCAACATATGTATACATTAATAATAATGATAGTAATTAGGCGTGTTTTTATATCATAGCTTTAACTATTTATTTTTCCAATTTTTATCCAGATGTATTTAATTAGTTATAAGTTTTTTCTTCGACAACTATGTTCTTCTCACTACTATTTTTTTTAAATCTGTCCATTTTATTGCATATCATTTTAACATTGTTTAACTGAACATAAATAATATCGGGTGTTATATGTAAACATATTGATAAAAGAGCATCATAATTTAACGAAATGCTTAAAAATTAGGGATAGATGATGAATGAAATTAAGTTCCGTAGTTTGAAAGGGAGAAAAATGGTAAGATTTGTCTATCACACTCGACCATGTCATGATTAATTTTAAAAATCTGACCGTATCACTTCGGATATTTTTTCCAAGATAGTATTTTGAAATAGTGGTACATCACTATTGTCAAAGTTTTCAGTAACGGTAGATTTCATACCATTCTGCTTAATATTTGGATTTATTTGGGTTGGTTATCACGTATCAATAGCAATTTAAGTATAACTGAAATTTAATGATTGTAAATGGTTGTTTTTTGTTGTTGCTTCGATCTTGCTAGTAGTACACAATACGATATGGCTTCAGTGCATAATTTTGAAATGAAAGCTGTACTAATGATTCATAGAGTAAAAGGTGTTAAAAATTAAGTAGGAACTAATATAGTTTTAGCTTCTTCGGATTTTCACTGATTAGCACTTTTAGAAACTTTGGAAAACTCTATAATGTTAGTATTCATCCATATGTTTGACTTAATTGTTGAAGTTGTACAGAAAACCTAAATCTCATTCTAGGTATTTATTTTACAGATTAAATAGAGTATTTTCGATATTGTTCAGTGGCTTTATTTGTGTTGAGTTAAAATTCGAATGTGTTTTTCTTCTCAACCTGGTTAGTTGGTGAGATAGTGATTCTCTCTTGAGATTGTTAATCAATCACCGGGTTTCCTTCCTATTTCTTTTTAAAATAATCTAAAAAGAAATCTACGAATTCCTGACATCTATGAATGTTACTCATCTGGATATTTTCACGATATGTAAACAATAATTTTTATTCATCGTGAATAACTTCTGAGGTTAAATCCTTTAGTCTATTATACTACCGTATATGCTTATTTAATGAATAAGTATCATTTATAAATTATAGTTAGTGAAGCTTCAAAGTTGGGATTAAAAATGTCTATACCTTAAAAACATCTTATTCACAATAAATCAGTTCATTTCGGTCATTTTATTTGAATTATTATTTTTCCCTAGATTTGTTGAATACAATGGAACGTTTTGATCAAAGCGGTTCTGTTGATTTCAGCTGGATACTAAAAGCCCCCACTAAACCGAGTATCATTGTTCCTCTTGAGGATAGTAAAGTAATATATTATCTTTTTTTCGTGTTACAGTAATTATTTTTAAAGTCAGAAGAGCTTAAATTTCATTGTTTGCCGATCGAATTATCAGCTTTAAGGGAGGCATATCGACTAGTATCTATGCTAAGGTAATTTGAAAATATTGCTTATGAATCTTATTTTCTAGTTATACATTGGGCTCATTGATTGCCAGTTTTCATGCTTACTTACCTTCTGTCGTCGAGCATATATTTCATATTCTTTGTATTGCTGTGGAACTAACTGACGTATACGGTAAACAGGTTAGTTTTCAAGTACCTGTCATATAATACTTACCTCTTTCGAGTGCTAATAATTGTATCAGCCTATATTTTATATAATTTCATTTGGATTGTTGAAGAAGTCAAATAATTTACGTCGTATCTATTATTGCTTTTATTTTTCCTACAGAAAGCTTTAAATGCGATTTATCAAGGTACCGATGCATTAATCAACTTAGTTCATGAACCAATCTACAGATCCACAACATTAAGGTATATTTACTCTGCTAGTGGACTAGTTCTCACTTTTCTGAGTTCATGGCACGAAAGAACTGTGAATTTACCACCAGATCTACTGATCATAGATGAGTACACCAGCTTAGAGAATACAATTGTACTTTGTCTACGTTTGCTTAGTGTGATTGAACAACGTATTGTTAAACTGAACCAACCTAGTTATGAGTGCTTTAATCATCAAAAGTTATTAAATAGAGTAAGTTTTTATCTTTGTATTTCTTTCCCGTTCTGATTGATACTTTAGCATAGATAGTATTAATGCGATCCTAAGCATCATACAGCACATTAGGTAGACCAGATATGAATGATTTCTTTCTCAATTTGATTTAGTAAGGAATTTTGTCTGAATTCAGGTATCTCCAATTTGGACTGAGAAAGTATATAAACCTTAAACGAAATGGTGTAATGGCTTTTTCTAACTGATGGAGGCCCTTGAGTCTAACATAACCTGTTTTTACCCTATATTACTTTCATGTAGTTTTTCTACTACCTCTGATGCTTAGTGATTCTTTTATCCAGAATCGTAGTTATTTAGAAGTATCTCTTAGCAGATTAACGAGTTTAAAGTCGGTAGTTTGGAATAGTGACTTAAAGTTCTTAAGTACGTGAGTGATAGTAATGGATTCAAACGCCTGCTTATTGCAGAAATACACTATTTAGACAGAGAGTTATTTAAAAAGAAGTAATGTTTTCACGTTCTCAATTTAACTCATTTATGCATTCGTATTCAGAGTAGCTTTAAAAAAAGATCTTCCTCACTTCACAGTTCTATACAAAGAACTTCAAGCCTTTTTACTTTTCCATTTACAAGTTTTTATGGTGTTACAATAAAAGTGCTCATATTGGTGTCACTTAGGCTTTTCTGTTAGGCTGGTTAATTTCCTAATTCACTTGTTTGCAAGTCTCAATACTTTTTAACTCCATTATCAATAAAAACTACTGAAAAGGATTGTTGGTTGTGATCAGGCGCTTATAAATAGCGATGAAATAAATATTTGAAAAATTATTCCTGTTAGTGTTGAGATGTTCAAAGAGAGAGAGAGAGAGCGAAAGAAACAGCAGCAAGTTAGCAGTCGAATAATTTGACTTTCATATACTGTTTGGCAGATTAGTCTGAAACGCAATAAATCTACTTCATTTAAAACAATTCGTAGATAACAAAGTTCTGAGTAGAACTGAATAGTCAAAATCATCATCTGACATTCGAACATGAGGTTTTATTTTTGATCGTCTCATCAACTACTTTACAGTCTAGACTAAGTGACTAGGTAACACGTTATTTGCAATTATTGTTTAGCGTTTTTGTACTGAGTATATATTGTTATAATATCTGTTACTACCTTACTTTGTTCGACATTGTTGATTAATTGAACAAAGCTCTTGCGTGTTTTTAGTTTTCAGGGCAAATACAAGTACCATTCTTCTTTTTTTTAAATAAATACATTCTTTTTAGATTTGTTTTCAACTACTAAAAAGTAACTGGATAAAAAGCTCCGGTCATCGGGATCTTAAATATGCTCTAATAGATTACAATTTACATTTCTTATCCAAATATCTGTTGTCTGATGGGAAGAATATACTTTGCTTGTTACCTTCTATTTCAAATGTTGATGAAGAAGTAAGCAGATGTTTTGAAGGAGATGAATATCTTTTCAATCCACTTTCAATTATCATACCGATTGAGATGTTTAACATACAGGTAATTAATAAAATTGCACCACTATTTCTTTTTTTTCGGCCTATTAATTCTTAATCCGTAAACTGAGTTCCTCATAATGACAAACACATATCCTTCAAGACTATATTCAAACGACTGTCCTGCAGTTTTTGTTCAGTACCTGTAGTTCGAAATGATGCTCTACAATCCAAAACCGATTGGCAGATATAACGCCTCATTCATTATTAAATTATATCCATATGTTGTGTTCATTATTGTTATTACCATTATTATTTGCCGGATTAATATCATTCGTTCAAATAGCCTTATCCACTAGTATAGAGACCATTTTGTAGAATCCATGTTTCTTTGAACTCTAAAATGATTTGCTAAATACGTTGATCATACTGTAGCCATCGTATAAGATATTTTTACTGATTTTTATTGTTTTTTATTGGAACTTGATGTAAAATAACAATCTTCACTTAACGATTTGATAATCGACATACCAAACGAGAAAATTCTCTCTTTTGAAGTTGATAATAAAAACCAATACTAATAGACTATTAATGGACAGAATAAGTTAATTTCTCTATTCTAGGTCGTCTAGAAAGTAACAGTCATGACCGCTTTTCGCGAATGGAGATAACTGTAATAACCACGTTACTTCTCCGTATATTCACTTTTAATTCAACTTTTCATATATTTAAATCATAGTTTCAGCATGTGTTCACTGATACCGTCACTCATTGAAGTGAGTCATCATCTATTTAACTGAAAACATTTCTCGTATTTTGTTTATAATCGATGTCTACTCCATTTCTTCTTTCTCTAGTATCAGTCCATTATATCGAAAATTCTGTCGTCTTGTGATATTATTCATGTTAAAGAGTTTCTTGAAGCCCATGTGGTCAAAAGTCCTGTTCGTGATGATTTTACACAGGAAACCATCAAAGAGTGGATAGTATTCACAAGGATCTGGAGTGGTTTATCAGATCTTCAAACCTTCATGGAGTAAGTGGGTTACCATTCACATATATATCCATATCATTTACCACTGTTTCCATTTAAATTTGTTTCAAATAACGATCATATATTTATCTAGGATAAGTTGTCATATCTGTTTTCGTGTAACATTTTTATCTAAACGGCCCGCTGTTTAACATAGCCATTAACATTAGTGTTGTCATGAAATTTAACGATCAGTCGAAGTCGAATCAAAACACTGAAAACATCACTAAATAGATATAAAACAGCTAATTTTGATATCCCATTACATTCAGTATACTACTCTATAACAAGAAGTTTAAACGAAAATGTTGTTTTTCTAGATTGTGCGTTATTTTCCTGGTAATCGAGTGTAAAGTAAAGGTGAGCTTAAAACATGTAGCTGGTGGATTAATATTTTCCTGTTTATACAATTTTATCCTAAACGAAATTACTTTCAGCATAATAGGTAATGCGAGCGTTTATCAGAAGTAGATAGCTTTTGCTGTGTTTTTGTATTTATCTCTTTAGAAAGCTATGACCTAACTGAGAATACATTGTCAGAACCATCTTTTAGCTTTTGACATTTACAAACTTGCATTATAATAAGTAGTTTCTTCATAACGTAGGACTTACCATAACTAATGTATATATGTGCTTCTATAGAATAAAACATTAGGTGCATTAATGATTGATTTCCCTAAGTACTTACATTTTTAGATTAAAAGATGTAATTCAAAAGTTATCAACCCAATCATTTCATGCTGTATTCGATTATCTAACCAAATCAATTCACTTCAGTTCAACGGCGAAAGTTGTCGACGCAAAAAAGCTTGCAACTATTCATTTTGGTCTCCGTCTATTAGTCAACGCTGTTATTACTATTCAGGGTAAGTCAGCTTGATAATATCGTTTCATGTAGATAACTGTATCAATGTATAACTGGTACATTAACATCGTTCTTAGTTATTTACTATTACACAACGAATGTGTTTCATGTAATGAGACAACATATTCACGTTACTTATTTCCGGTTCGATCCAGTTTCATTTGTTCCTTGTCCTTTTATTCCGTACTTTCCATTTTTCGAAATAATTTATCACTTTTGACCGATTTTATTTATCCTCATACTTCTACCAACGCCGGTGCTATCGCCTCCCCTCATTTATTCTTCATTTTATTAATTTGCACTCGTTGAGACAAATCAAGATGTTGCATATACATCTGATGCACATATCAGGTCCCACATCACCAGTGACAACGTGTGACTTTTACATGGATTTTATACTTATATGTTTACTCCGCTATTCTTGTTGTATATACTCTATTCATCAGTTATGTGACTATAATCTACGAACGAAAATCAAAATTTTTAAAAAGTCAAATGAGTATACCATGTACCTTGTGTAATCTTGGTTTTTATGATAATCTATGGTTGAACGAACAATACGTAGAATGGGAAGTGATAGAACAAGAACTAAACTACAGATGTAATATAATAGTTAGACTAGTTTATACTATAGACTGCATGTATATACTATACTATTATGTATAGCTAATAGGCAGTCGAAAACGTAAATATGGCTTGTGAGTATGTCAGTCAAACGCAACATAGAGCCTGAAACATGTGTACGTACATATGTTGAAGTTACCATACTCCATGAACATACTGAGGTAGAATTGTCTGAGTAAATTTCTGAATAGTAGAGATAGTGACAGTAAAAATACCGGTTGAAAAGACTAGACATCTGATATACAATTTCAAAAGAAAATATAACTAAGTGAAAAGCTAGAGAAAACCATGAGGAATTCGGCAAAGAAAGTCTACGTTTGAATGCACCTGCGCCATTCCAAACGATTTTAAACCATTTTATCCGAATTCTCGAACGGTTGGTTACACCTACTAACGTACTGTGGCAGCTTAATCCTATCAATCAGTCTAACTTTAATGCCTTGAAGGTTGTGACAAGAGAAATATAATTTGTTGTGGACTGATAATAATTGATAAGAGAACTAACAAATTTATCTGATACATTTTTCAAATAATTTCCAATTGATACAAAATTCCATCTAAAATATTCCCTATGGTTTTGTGCTCTGTTTCTTTATATCTAGATTTCAGTCTTTATGACGTATCTGTATTAAAATCGTTGATCACGTGGTTGAAAAATTTAAAAGTAATTCACACGTTTTAATTTCCTTCTTTCTCACTTTCTCACGGAAACTGTTAATAATGACTATTGTTAGCAAAATTATAAATTTTTATTTTCTTACTGTAATTCACATCGTGCAAAAGTTGTATTTTATTGGTTATAATTTAGCTCAAAGATGAAATGTTAAGCTTATTTCTAATTTTTCTTTGTACGATTGGCTATTCGCTACTGATATACTCTGTAAAACCTTACTCAGTTTCGTTGTATAACTCAGAAATACAAGAACTGAAATTCCTATTAATTTATCAGCTATAGGTATTCTAATATGAATTTTTTCGTGTCATTGGTTTATAGTAACACCCACTGATCTATCAGTACCTATGTTACTTGTAAACTGCTAAGTGTAATGCTTACAAAAGCAGGTTGTATAATCAGATGAAATTAAGAAAAACCAATGAAGTCATTGATTGTTCTTTTGAGTTATGTGTACTCTCGTTCCTGAAATCTTCAAGACTACTGAAACCAAGTGAATTATGAATTATGAATTGTGTGCTTATGAATTTCACAGTTTTATATATTGATATGTCATGTTTCGTATATAAATAAATGCTTTTTAACTGATTATTCCTATATTAATTCTTAATAATGCATAAGACAAAGAAAGACAAGTGTTTTAACATAAACATTGATGGGAAGTGTTTCAATTGTATTAATTTATATCATTAACACTTATTCTGGACGAAACATGTCTCAACAAACCTAGTTAATGAGGACAAGCCATCTTTACCTAGTACCCTATTCCTGGCCCACGCCGTATTTACTCGATGGTCCTAGAATACTCGAGCAATGCTTCGAAGACACCTGTGATCGAATATTAGTGACTTAAAAATATCTTCCATTTAAGTAGCCATTTTTCACACCCTCAGTAGACTCGTCCTTTGATGAGTAGACAGTTATCTCTCCTACACTACAAGTGACACAAGTTAGAAAAGCCAGTTCAGCCTTCTGTATCCGCGCCGTGATTTCGTCAGACACTAGGCCATCAGGACTGATGAGACTCCCGCGATCGATACTTTCAACTATTTCACTCCCTATCACTAGTCCAGGCGCTGACGCAAGCCAATCCTGAGGTAACGTTTTGCATTTCGACGGGGAAAAATGCATCTCGAATATGCTTGTATGTTTGCTTAAGTTAATCAAAAGTCAGTCCAAATGTTTGGGTAATACTTATTGGTCATTTTCCAAAATGTTTCTGTAGTTGGTAAACGAATTTCTGTCAGGGCTAAGTACTTTTGTAGGAAGTATTCAGATAGGATGTGGAAGTTTCCCATTTTATTTATACAGTAACTTATTAATTAGTTAGTCATCTGTATATTTAACTAAAAGTTTTTACTTTTTTCTCAGTCCCAAATAAAATGCAATGAGAAGTATTGGATTTATATTTGTGGACCTACAATATCATTATTTTGCTCGTTAATGCTATGGTTTTCAACGGCGAATGTGATGTCTGTAGACGAACTTTCGGATATTTTAATTGACTATATCATGAGCTATATAGTATTAGATAAAGATCATATTGCTATGTGGCTATATTATCTACTTGATAAAATGTCGAAATTCTCATCGGATAGAAATTTCACATTAGCAGTTAAACAATGTCTATTTCCTAAATTATTCAAGTAAGTTATTATTATTATTGTTGTTGTTGTTAATGTACATCTGGTCTCTGGTTATTTATCCGATGTTATGGACAACAACAAAATATACTACTCCATAATTGATTATCCGGTTTATTCACTCCTAACTTTAATCTTTTAGGCAATTGAAAACTAATCAATCCATGGCAAAATCAATAATACCACTGCTGTGTCGTTTTACAGTGAGCATTCTATGCAGTGTTAATAACTGCCCTTCTGGCCCTTCATTATACTGTACATATATGCATAACAAATTTGATTTTCCTAATGCATCAACTGAGAACAACGCAGAAAATTTGAGGAATTTATCTCTTTTCGAATATATTGAACTTTTGTCCTACATGTTCGATCAAAGTAAAACAGTTGAAACTATTGACGGTAAGTTTAGTGTTTTTTCCGCCAACATAATATTATTCATAATGATGATTATTATTCAAGATCTGTAGTTATTTACTCTTTATTTTTAGCTTTCAAGAATGATTTCGCTGTTTATTTGGCCTCTCACATGAAATGGAGTTTCCTTTCAACTGATCAAGTCCAAACTTATTTTACTCTTATCATGGAGAATTTATTTGAATTCACACCATTCGTTGTTCGGTAAGCTTTATATCATCTTGTTGTCAAACAGATCTAGCCCTAATTACTTACTTACTCACTCACTTACGTACTTACGCCTGTTACCCCCGAATGAGCACAGGCCGCCGAACAGTTTTCTCCAACCAACTCTGTCCTGGGCTTCCCTTTCTAGTTCTTGCCAGTTTTTGTTCATTCTTTCCATGTCTTTCTCCATTTCTCGGGTTAATGTGTTCCTTGGCCTTCTTCTTTTCCTTTCGTCTTGAGGGTTCCATGTGAGGGCTTGTCTTGTGACGCAGCTGGCTGCTTTTCTCAGTGTGTATCCTATCCACTTCCACCGCTTCTTCCTGATTTCCTCCTCTGATGGAATCTGGTTTATTCTCTCCCACAGTAGGTTGTTGCTGATAGTGTCTGGCCAACGAATACGAAGTATTTTGCGTAGACAACTGTTCATAAATACTCGTACCTTCTGGATGATGGTTTTCGTAGTTTTCCAAGTTTCCGCTCCATACAGTAGAACTGTCTTGACATTTGTATTGAAAATCGTGATTTTGGTGTTGGTTGATAGTTGTTTTGAGTTCCAGATGTTTTTCAATAGTAGAAATGCAGCCCTTGCTTTGTCGCTCTCACATCTGCATCGGATCCACCTTGATTGTCGATGATGCTGCCCAGATATGTAAAGGTGTTAACGTCCTCCGAGGCATCTCCATCAAGAGTGATTTGGTTGGCGCATGTTGTGTTGCACCTCAGAATCTTTCTTTTCCAATTGTGTGTGTTGTTTGAGACCTACTGCTGCTAATGCTGCTGCTACGCTAGTCATTTTCTCTTGCGTTTGTTGTCACGTGTGTGATAGAAGAGCCAGATCATCTGCGAAGTCCAGATCGTCCATCTGCATCCTAGCTGTCCATTGGATACTGTGATTCCCTCCAGATGTTGACATCACAATCCAATCGATCACCAGAAGTAAAGCAACCTTGCCGGACACTGATCTTCGCCTCGAAAGAGTTTGTTAGCTGTCCTCCGTGCATGATTCTGCAATTGAATCCATCGTAAGAAATCCGTATGATGTTAAATATCTCAGGCTCGCTGAAACAGATCTAGTCACTAAATAGGAAATAAACCTAGTTGTTTTCATAAAGATATAATCCACTGATCGTCCTTGAGTCACCTAGACTTCAGAAAACTAAGGTTTTATTTTTAAACATGTTCAAAACTTGTCCAATCTGCTATTGTAGTTGTAGTTAAATTAGCTTTAAGTATTTGACTTTGTCATCGTTATGGTATGAACCTGTCTAGTCTGAGTGCTTTTATAAAATACTAGGTATAGATGGCAGATAGATTAATGAGGTAGTGAAGCCTCATTACCTGAGGTGGCCAGGTGTCCCTTTATATCTAATTCCTCAATGAGCGGTGTTGTCTGGTTTGGGAGTTGGTTGAAAGAAAGTTAAGAGTGTGAGTAGCGTGATTAATGTTTAAAGGAGTTAGATTACTTGGTCTAGATTCGGTTCCGATGCAAAGATATTTTTATTCCCTGCTTCTCCTCCGAATCCCGATTTAGAAATTCACCTTCAACTTTTTTTTGATTTGACGAATACATTTCTTGTTTCTGAATAATTTAATCCATGTATAACCTTTTCCATCGTTACTTGTATTACTCCGAGATATGCCTTGATAATTTCATCTCACTGTGCAATTTCGGTGTAATAGTAATATTAATAATAATTCTACTGACTGACTCCAACACATTTTTTTTCTTGTCAATATCGTCAAAAATATGTTGGTTTAACCCTAAGCATTATTTATATGAATCCTTGAAAGCATCCATTTATTAGGTATGTTGAAAAAAAGTCTTTGAATTACAATGCTGTGAAATAAAATGTAACTCTGCAACGTTTAAATTATAAAGTAAACCGAATGTTTCAGAATACTTATTGAATAATTAAATAATATAATGCTGTATTGCTTACCGTGTTCTGCCTTCTCTACAATATATAGTAAGATTTTCAGTGATACATCAAATAATTTGTCTGGAACAAATTTAAATTCCTGGATCACTGTGCATAAATCTATTATGGAATTGTTAAACAATCAATCCAATGACAAGTTAACTGACACATCCAATAATTCAACAGCCGAATATCATACAGTGATATATGGTGCTTTGGGCTGTTGCCTGGCCAGTCGTTATGCTGATTTTATGTTTAATCAAAAATTACAAGTTAATAACTATGAATTTTTTTATGGACGTATGTCTAGTGAAACACTCGCAATTAATGGTTCATCATGTACTACATCTACTCAAGTTATTGATTTGCTTGTCGTTATTCTATCGATTTTATGTCGATTGGGTTTAGTGCATCAATATTCCCATGGGCTTTTCGGTACAATTTATACACAGGTTAGATAATCTGTTGTGCTTTCATATAAACTATAGTTTACTTATCATATCTTGAATCTTTTATATTCTGAACCTTAACAAATTCTTAACTTCATAATACAATTCAGAATGATGTTAGGTTGTTGTTAGAAGTATATCAATGGATGCTTTTTTAATAACAGTTGAATTTTTTTCTTCATTCGATTTACGAAAAAAGATTGATTGATACGGTTCTACCAACACACAAGTTGAATGTATCAAGCTCTAATATATCATTCTGACTAAAAAGTATACTTGTCCTAATTGGATGATACTATTCAATTTCGAAACGGAGGTTTATTTTGTTGGTCATCGAGAATATAGTTGCTGGTGCTCTCACTCATAACATTACTTGAAAAATAAGATTAAAATTACGCTTTGTAGAATGCTGGTATTTCTACAGCGTAAAAGATCGATGCCCTACCATTCAGATTATATCTCTTTTAGATTGTGCTTTCATTGTTTATTAAATCCTTCAACAAAAGACCTTATTTACTCAATTTAGAATGCTGTCACGCACACAGCTCATAAGTAATTGCTTAGGTTGTAATCTGTAATTTGAGATTCACTATGGGAATGACGCAAAAGAAACTTGTAATTTAGACACTCGTAATTTCCTATTTTCTATCGTTCAGAAACTAAATTCATTTACGTTTTCATTAGTTATTCGTTAAGCTGGATTAGTTTTAAAGGTGATTAATTTAAAATTCCTACGATTTCACGTTTTCTGTCGAGAATGTTTGATCCTCTTTGAAATTGTAGAATGTTATTCATGTAAGCTGTAATTTTACCATTATTCTATATTGCATTCAATGGGTTTTTTTCTGACACTATAAAACCTATTATTTAACTTGTGGATTCGTTTTAGTTTTGAGATTCTATCGTCTACTAAAGGGAAGAACGATAACACAGAAACAGAAAGGAAAAGCAAAACGAACTCATAAAAAGTAGAAACCAAAATTGAGCTAGTTAAGTATTCAAAATAACTCAGCATGGAGCCGTTTTGGGTTTACTACCGATCCCGAACGCGGATAAAGGGGGAAGATTGGGCATGTGTTTAGTGACCACATACCGTAGAAATCCAACTCGCTAAGAAAACGCCAACTTGAAAAAATAATTCGCTTATTCTCCATCAGAGGCAATGGGCGTAAGTAAGTGAACTTCATATTCAAAATCTAAGACACCATTGGGATTCCTGGTCATTTGCATGCCAGCAATAGTTTGATATGTGTAATGCGTATGATACAAATCCTTAAGTGGTTTGTTGACATAAGATCCCTTAACATTATCATTACTTATAAGTTAAATATTCAAGTACTACTGTCTATTTACTATATATATTGAATGTTGAAATCATTGATTGTGGATTTTACTCATAGATTCATGAACTTATATCGCTACTTCGTCTACCATCTGCACAAGTAATCCGTCTTAGCGATCACCAATTAGCACAGGTAATGTTTTATTTTAATGTATTTATAGTGTTTGTATATACATGCAAATATTCACATTTCTAAATGTTAAGTTTACAATCAAACCATATAATTCTTGAATAAACTGAAGTAGAATAACTAGTGTGCGTGTCAGATTTGTTCCTTTTATAATTATATTTTCTGAAATTACACACACACACATTCCTCGTATCTAGTGTGAGAATGGCTTACGTTCGTATAACAGATTTACACAAATCAAGATTTTCCTTGGTATTATTCGGTTTTACAATTTCGCTTGTTTGAAATAGTAAAACGATATATTGGTGATGATAATAAGAGATAATAAGCTAGATAATTTAATGATATAAATGAATATAGTTTAGTAATAATAATAATAATAATGATAAACTATCAAGTAAAAAATTTTTAAAATATCATTTTAAATCCTTTCTCCTTATAATAGTTTACCTTACAGTTTACAACTGAAATTGAACGTACCAACCATTCAACAAATGGTGTTTATGTATGCGTAGTATCATGAGATTACCTTAGTTAACGAAAGTACACAACTCTGTTTGATAGAAAACTCACTCGTAATGTCAATATTGACTACTTAACACTATCATCTTATATAGCTTGTTTTAAAGGTCGCTAAAAACTAAAACAAAGCTTTTCATATTTACGCTCAACTTTAAGCGTTTTATTGCATATTCTTATCATTTCTAAATTGTTTAAAATTATTTTGTTAAGATCTCTAAACTTTACGGTTTTCGAAACCAATTTTATATTTTGTTCTATCCTCCAATTTATAATGATAAATTTCTCGTTTTAGGTTGTAGTCGAACACATGGATCAGTCTTTATCTCAAGCCATGGAAAGCCTTTCACGCTTATTTCGGGTTGATAAAAAGATTTTACTCAAAGTAAGCCATTGTTGACAATTCTTTTCTCTTTACTGTCGAGTTTTGTCTATCCCCCCTACCTAAATACTTGAATATTGCACTAAACCCGATTTTTGTACGTTGTTTGCTGTATCAGTTTTAGTTAAGTGGAAAATGTAGATATATTTCAAGAGTATGGTTCTAATCACATGTAATATTTGACATATGCCATTAACCTTTTGTTTTTGTTGATGATTTTATTATTTGGCATACATAAATTTGGTTTCTTTTGATAGGAACTGATCCCAGCCTTATTTATTGCCCTGGTAATACGTGGGAATCAAGAGAGCCATTTACGAATTAGGCAACTTATTTCAGAAGTACCTTATCTTGATAATCAACAAGTATGATTTTTAATCGTTTCCTTTTTTCATACTTTTTATCCTTCTGAATAGCAAGGTAATGATTTTAAGGTGATATCACAACTAAGTTTATGATATTTCACTACTGCTCTAAGTTATTTTCAAACGTTAACGCACATCCAAGTTGTAGTGTTCCATGTATTACACTCTCTCTATCTGTTATCATATGATTTAAAAATTTGAACTACATATTATTGATTCAGCATATACACTTGTTAATCATATGGCTACATTGTTTTTATCCATATGTAGCATACACCTTTGTAAAATCCTTTTGGAAGCAAAACCTTACGCTACTGTTTGCATTATTGTTCAGGATTGTCCCATCCAAGAGTACAGAGTTAATTCACGAATTAATTAACTGCTGGTTTTCATTTATAATGTTTTGCGTAAAATTTGAAGTTCGTAAAATTCAGTAGTTCAAGCCTTTAATTGAAAGTAAATTGAAACTCATTCAAACTATCAGGAATATACACATATCGTTGTTAATCCATTTTGTCAGACTTATTTGATGCTAAATCTATCCATGTCTTTCCATCCGTTGCTCTTAATAACCGAAACGGCTGATAGGGAGTAAAGTAGTTGTTCACATCGACTGCTCCACTATCTTGGGAGTCTGATGAGATCACCATAGGTACAGAAGTTTCGATTGTCTTTTGTCAACTTACGTCACTTTTGGTTCAGGCGCGATATCCGTCTGTTAACTAAATGATGATCTTACTGCTCAATAGTTCTCCGTTCTACTAAAGACGTGTTTAATATCCCGACTAAGAATAGAAGGTATTCGCAGGCTACTACTGTTCGATCACAGGTGTCTTCGAAGCATTGCTCGTGTATTCTGGGACCATCGAGTAAGCAATGCTGGTGTTGAGAAATCAGTTGGTCAATTTCAGTCCTCATAGTTTCATATTTTCAAGAAATACTTCATTTTTACTCAGTATGATATTTACACATCGATCCTAACTATGTACACTTATCACTTTTTATCCCTATTCTTCTTCTGATAATGAGTTTGTGAACGTTTCAAACATTTATCTAAATTTCACAAACTAAGGTAAGCTTATAATAATACTAATAATAATGTTAATAATTGTAATGTTACATTGTATGGAGCTAATTAGAAATCGTCAAATAGAATGAACTCAGCTTATTCTTCTCTTTACATTTATCAAGTGATCTAGTTGTATGAAATCTAATGCCTACGCAGTTCTCGACCCAGTGACCTAGATTAGTCATTTCCTTTACATTTTCTTCACTATAGGATTATATTGGTAAAATCGTTCAGCTGTGTGTTCTACCAGAAACTTTAGTTTACATTTTTACTCGTACATCGAAAGATGATCAAGCTGTACATTTGGCGTTTCTTGAAGTAAGCAAGTTTTCTTGTCTAAAGTAATTAACAGATTTTCACCTCTGTGTTAGACTATTAATTACTACTTGAGTTTCAGTAGGTAATCCTCTCTTTCTAGCGACAAATACAAATTGTTTGGACCATAGATTATTGTGCCTAATGTATATAGATTGTGGGTTTGTTTTCTGTAAACGTCCATGTACTCACCCTTGAGCCACAATTTAGTTCAAACGGTTATCTCTGCTTACCAACTGCCCAAACTGAAGTTGACGGGATTTACAGTAGCAACCTACTAGTTGAAGGATAAGTGTTGTAACCGCTAAGTTAAAACTCGACTACTTGTTTTATGGTCAAGTTTTGTTGAGGTAAGAGTGAGAAATTGTTTCTGTTAACTTAATAAAAAAGATATTCAGCGATTAGTATTAAATCATTTAGTTATCTTCTATCTCTGACAAAATACGAAAACTTATTATGAGCTGACTTAAATCACACAATTTTCTGGTTTACCCTAGATTTATGTAGTCTAAACACTGTTAGGAGTGATGTCAACTGAATTCGCTTCTCACTGGTTACACGTCTGATACACAAGTTACTTAAATTTCTATTCATAGGCGATCTCAGATTTTGTTATGTGTTATTTCCTCATCTTTCAACTTTACTTATAAAGCCATATTTATTGTACAAAGCTTACTCAAGTGTCGTGGATAATCAATAACTATTGATTGGTGTTAGTAATATGTGAACTCTTGTGGAACCTTCCTTAGTTAGCATCATGTTTATATCTATTATTATTCTTTCAGGCTCATCTTAATATGTCCATCGAACGAATAGCTCGTCTAAATGATATTTCTCGTCTTATGCATCAGTTTATCCTTCGACTTTATCCTTATCGTGTTGGGGCTTGTTTGGGACTACGATGGATCTCTTCAGTTATCCTTCCACAGTGTGGAACACAAACTAGTCGTACACCAGTTAGTGGGCGGAACTTTGTTCTGGTAAATTAAATTGCTTACAATTTAACATTCTATAAATGCTTGTTTATCCAATATTTAGATATTATATTTGCGACATTTATTTCGCTATATTATTGTTAATATTCACCATTTAGAAATCAGTTTTAAAATACAAAACCTATATCATAGGATCCTGTATTTTTGATGTATACTTGTTGAGCGTTTTATCCAAGAAAATTCTTAGTAGATCAGAATTTGTATTTACATCTGTGATATAGGACTAAGACCTCACGCAAGTAGCATTAAATTCCTAATATATTTGCTTGATTTATATATTTTTCAATCCGCCTTTTGTTTAGTTATAACTGCATGGATTGTTTCGTAGTTGAGTCATGTTTTAAACATACAGGTCGATCAAATAAACTAAGAATTATATTTTCTTTATACTACTGATTCAGTTAATGGTAATGTTGAACCAATATGTTCTGTTTAAATTACTCTTAATAATGTTATTTATTTTAATTTAAATATCACTAATATATAAGTTCTGGTTTTGATTATTTTGATCTCACTTTTCACTGTAGAACGTGGTTAAAAGCATTGCATTCACGTTACTGTTTATAGCCCCTGTTAATGATCACGTTATTAATGCTCTTCAAAATATTGGTACTATATAGCCACTGTTTGTGGAGTCATTCACAATTTCATTCCAGTGAAAATTCGTTAATCACACAAGGTCATTGCATTTTTTACTAAAAGATATTTGTCATACTCACTTAGTTTGTTTTTATTATGATAATTCATGTTTCGACCAACTTCATCTCATAATTGCTTTGCATATTAAACTTTTGCATATCCCGTAGGCTGATTTCCTAGGACATTATGTATGCGGAATATTAGCATTTTTTGATAATATGCTGTTAAATGATGACGTCATACTTGAACATCGTTGGTCAGCTTTGCGAAGTTTAGTTGTATTCATCAAACTTCTTGGTTCAAATCATGTTACGCGTATGCGAGCGAAATTTATGGCTAATCTCAAGTAAGTTATCTATTAACATTAATTCTCCTTGGCTAGTTTTTATTTTTATTATGGCGTTTGTTGAGTTACAGTTGTGCTTGTAAAAAGAATCAAAAAAAATTCTTGTAAGTCGCAGTAAAATATGCTTATTCCCTTTCGGTATGTATGTTGCTCAAACTATCAACTTTTTAAGACTATTGTAAATTCATGATTTTCAATTCATTTTACTTACGACCTCAGTTAAGAGTTTGGGGATTGTTTAAAATGATTGTTGTTAATCCTTTTTTTTGTGAAATAAATTTCGTCACGTTGTTACCAATGTAAATTACAAGCTTGAAGTTACATAATATTTAATATAGATCTTTTCGACTGTTTGTATCTGTATTCTATTAATAAACTACTGTATATCTAATTTCTTATGAACACAACTTATTTTGACAAATTGCATGCTGAACAATCTGTTTTGAAATAGAAGAAACCCATTTCAAATTAATTAGTGTGTTGTGATAAAAAGTGTTATATAACCAACCTTTTCATTCTATCATGACGTATTATTATTATTATTATTATTATTATTATTATTATCATGATTATTATTGTGGAATATTTGTTCTTTTAGAATATGCATGCGTTATAACACACCACCATTTGGAAAAGTTGTTGTAAAAGCATGGCGTAGCTTTATACGCATGTAAGTCTTATAATAATTTGAATGGAATTTCATCCATTTATTTTGTAATTTCTTACATTTCAACCATTTCATCACTCCCATTCAACTTCGTCAAGTTGTTATTCAAATGTATTTTTTTATAGGTTAGAACCAGAATCATTAGATGAATTACTTCCTGACTTGGGTGCTACTCTCGTGGGACTTTTGCCTAGTGATCCGGAACAAGTGGTAGATTTGTTTCATTATCTTTTCTTAGAAAAAAGGTTAGTTGAACTTTTTTTGAAATTTGTATGGTTTAATGCTTTACTACGGCCGTTTCGTCCTGTTATTGGACTCATCAGTAGTGCACATCCACAACTCATGCACCTCATAGTATTCGAACCCAGAACCTTCGGTCATGCGCGCGAACGCCTAACCTCTGGGCCTTTGAGCCGCTATCTAATGGTGTTGATGTCTAACCTCGATCGATTCACGGTTTAGTTCCGTCAGGAGTCTTCTCTGAGTTCTAGTGAGAAGTCCTGACCAGTGAAGTTCAAACTGTTCGGATGTAGACAACAACAACGGAAGACAGTGTATGAGGTTGCGCAAGACCGTGAGCTGATCCAACTTAGACATTAACACCGTTAGATACCGGCTCAGTGGTCCAAAGATTAGGCGTTCGCGCAACACCGACGGTCCTGGGTTCGAATCCTGTGAGGTGCAGGAGTCATAGATGCTCTCTGAAGGTGAGTCCCATACAAGGACGAAACGGCCGTCCAGTGATTCCAGGTTTCTAATGGTGGTCTAACATTGATCGACTCATGATTTCAACAATTTACTATCTTACAATCGTATTCAGGTTTTTGAAGCTACCTACATAAACTATATAAACAAAGAATTCCGGAAGTCCAGCACTCTTTTTACTGTTTATCAGTTTAAATGTATTTTCATTGTTGTAAGTCATATACAGTTGGTTCCTTTTGTGAATTTGCGTAAAGCTTAAATGTAAGTATGGGATTGTGGAGATCTTTTAATTTCTCTGAATTTCTGAACTCAGCCACCATTGAAAACCCGTTTCGTCTTAGTATGGCATTCGCGGACGGTGCCTATAGCACGTGGATCGAAACCAGGACTTTCGGTCGCGTTCACCACTGCACCGACATTTGACGGTGTTAGTGTCTAACACTAATCAGTCCACGACTTCACACAATCATCTGTTATTCTTCTCGGCTCACGATTTCATTGAATCTGCACAATCATATTCTGACAATTATCACCAACTTACTAGTGACTAGCTTCGTGTGGGAATTGTCGGAGTTCTAGTGAGAAGCCGTGAGCAATGTTGTTCAGCTTTGTCGAATGTGAAGCAGTTGTCTACGGAAGATAATTAATGCTAAGCACTAACACTGTTGGACTCCGGTTCAGCAGTCTAATGGTTAAGCGTTCACGCTCGTGGTCGAAGGTGTTAGGGTCGATTCCTGCGTTCAGGATTGTGGATGTTTACCGCTTCGCAGTCCTGCACTTGTGATTCCCCGTTTTAGCACGCTGCTTAGTTTAGAATTTAGATGGATTCTTATAATTCGCCCCAGCGATTTTTTGACTTCATTCAATAATTCGTATTTCGTACTAATTCACTTCCTATAAAATGTAAACTTAAACATCAATTTATCGGCAAAACAGCTCCAACTATCATTTAAAAGTTGAAGACGGCCTGTAAATTAGATAATACTTTGTTCATTCTACTCATGAACAAAAAAAATACTTGAATGGATTGATACATTATAGACAATTTGTAATCTACAGTCCTGTCATAGATATTGAAAAAGCAACGATTTTAAACTAGTGATCACTAAGTCTGGGATTCTTATGCATTTGTAATATGTGATATACGAATTAATGAGTTCGTCACATAAACAGATTTGTGTCTGTGTTACTCAAAATCAATTTGATATTCGCTCACGTTCGTTTAATGTATTTTAACAAAAAAACGTTTTGGATTTCAGAGAACAAATCGGAAATCGACTATCGTGTTTATTCTTTCTGCCTCGATTACCTACTTTATTGACATGTCAACAAATTCTGGATGATTTATGTCCATGGTAAGTTATTAATTGTACCTTTCATTAAGTCGTGATACTTGAAGAGAACAAGGATTAAGATTTTAGTAGGATAACATAAATTTACTTTATCTCGTTTGATCCATGTCAACTGCTTATAACTTATACGAGTGAAATTGTTTGGAAGTAACTGATTAAAACTCAGTTATCTAATTAAAGTTCATCAGATTTCTTGAAATCTTCCCTCCACCACAATGACGGTTAGCGTTTTTTCAGCGATTTAGTTTTCTACGGGATGGGGTCGCCAACCCAGAGCCCATCCCTCCTCTATTCGGGGTCGGGACTGGCAGTAGCCGCAGAGGGGCTCCAGGAGGAGTTTCACCACAATTGATACATGCCAATTTTACTCGTGTTTGTTGTAAGCAGTTGACGAGAACTGGACGAAGCGAATGCTAAACTTTTCAATTCTTGTTGACAAAATAGTGAATGTAACTACATTCCCGAGAACCTAGTATGCTGTATGTAAATAATGAGTCCTGTTTGTGTACGTATTACATATTTGCATTCTCAAGTACCTTGTACCTCGTTCTACCCTAGGCGTGCAACTTTTTTCATAAATGGTGTGGACCTTACCGAATTGGAAATCCATCAACCCCTTACGGCATGGTTATCAGCTTTAACACATTCTAGTAGGTCCGTTCGAAGACTTACTCTAACATCAGAAGTAAATTTTGGATCAAACGATCAACACGGAAAAATTCTGCAATCTCGCTTATGGGGTTTGCCAAGTTTAATTGACCGTTCGATTTCTTCAACAAAAGGGAGTGAGATCCGAAGCATGTCTTCAGATACGACACACTCTGCGGATTCTATTTGTGGGGTTTCGTTTCGTGGAAATACAGCACTGTTTGCTGATATTGTTGCTTCATTACTGGAAGGTCTTACTAGAGATACTGATGAAAAAATGAGACTGTTATACGCACAATGGCTTGGTAATCTAGGAGCAGTCGATCCTTGCAAGTATGTTATGAATTCATTTTTTTTCATTTATCAAACCTGCTTACTGTCAGAATGATAAGCTAGTGAAATTTATCCAATAATATTCTTCTAACTCTGAAATGTCAACTCAGTTTTCGTTCAGTTTTAATAGGTTTTCCTATGATCGGTCAACTTTCTTTAAGTCCATACCAATATAAATGTTTCTATTTTTCTCAGTCACGATAACTGTGATGTTTATTTATTCTTTCAACGCCTAAATTGAATATTTATCTTAATGATAATGTATGTGTTTGTTTCGCTCTAATAAAGAGGTAATTCGATGTAGTTCCTCCTATTTACGTTAACACAATCTCATTTTATTTCCAAACTAGTTTAACTGTTGTACAAAAAACGGACAACTGGTTGTCGTACTTTTGATATCGGAACTCTGAAATTTCATGTTTACTTAAAATAAGATAATAATGATCAAGAAACCGAATTGTATGTAATATCTTTCTCCTACAATCAATCTTCTATGTAACTTTTTGCTTAATATCTTTTTAAATACATTCAACTAAATAGTGTTTGCCGCAAAATTACTTGTTTTCTAGGTCTATTTATGTGAATGTAGAATTTTCTTTGTAACAAACCACATTTGGGATCCAAGATACTTCTGTAATTCTCAATTGAATTCATTTTTAACAATTATTCTATGAACAATATTATCAAGCATAATTAACCATTCTTTACTCAACCAATAGTCGTCAATCTATGGATCTCTTATTCATAAAGAATGAACTGTAACAGCACACCAGTTTTATAATGCCCTCAACCATTCTTATTTTTCAAACTAAATATATCGATTTAAATTATTGCCAACCTTTTTAATTTTATCGAAATCATCTACCTAACTTCAGTTCATTTCTTTTTTTCGCAATTATACATCTCATTTTGTTTTCTTCATTATATCAGGTTATATTTATCTAATGGGGAAATAAAAACTAGACAGAACGAAAAAGAATCCATTGTATTTGTAAATGATCGTCGTTTTCCATTTCATATTCTATGCGAATTAGCGAATATATATCTACGTGCTGCTAGTCCCAGACAATTGGTAAGTATATATATAAAGAGAGAGTATTAAAAAATCAGCTGAAAAATGCCTCATGGTACTAATTTTTCGGATTTATAATGAGTTATGTTTAAATCTTGTCTATGGGTGACAAATTATTTATTGTGCATTAGGATCACAAGGATGTCTATACTTCTATTATTCGTGAGGAAACTTTCGAATTTTTCTGGTAAATATAACTATTTTTATAAACAGATGAACTAAATAATTTTTTTATGCGTCCTTGCTTTAAAAAGTATCTTTTATTTTTAGGACTCAGCAGCTTTAGCTGTTCAAGAATTGTTGAAGTTATTCAAAGTACCAGACGTCGGGAAATCAAACAATTTATCATCTTCAACAACTCAAGAATCTGTAGATAATTCACTCAGCTCATTTTTTTGGGGTTCCGAATTATGGAACTTGTTTCCTGAACATTTACGTGACCTTTTTGCACCACTTCTTACTTCTAGGTAACTAAATAATTTTAATGAGGGCCTTTCTTACTCAATATATACTCATACCGTGTTAATAACATATACAAATTATTATTACTTATAGATATGTTGTTGAATCATTTATCAACTGGTCGGCTATACGTGTACCAATCATTTTACACCAAGTTGATTTAACTTACGAATCGTGGATACGTTTATGGTCTGGTTCTTTGAGTAGTCATGTAAGTTTTAGTTTGATTTTTAAATCGTTTATTCTTTTCATATTTTCTCTGAAATGCTATTCTTCTTTTTGGTCATTGCTTATCATAAATCTCTTTTCAATTTGTTTGTCTTCCTAGACATAAAACTATGTGTTTATACTCTTCTTCTCTTTTTCTTTTAGATTACATCTCCTGTTGTTTTTAATATCTTTCAATTTTGTGAACCTGTTGTGAAAGCTGATGCAACATTTGCTAGATTAATGCTGGAACACTGTGCATTACAGGTCCTACTAGATAATTCACAAAGTGGAATATCTGCAGTAAGTGATTATGTATATGTATAACATGCCCCTAGGCTATTACTACCATTATCACTAATATTGGTTTTGCATAAGTGCTAAAGCAAGGAGTTTATTTCTTATAATTGTAATAGTTTTTATGTAAGAGGAACCCTAAAGCATTAGTAGTCTATTAGTTTTGAAGTTAAAGTGTCTCACTATACTATATTCATTTGAAACTGTTGTATAACAATTTACTTTTCCGCTTTATAAAGAATTTTTGATAACTTATATTGTGTGTTGTGGATAAACTTGTCGAAGTAAAACTTCCGTTGTTAGTCTCTCTTTCGTACAAGCTTCTTCAGTTACTTTTCGCAAACCGTTTCTATGTTGGCGCGATGAAGAAAGCGTTGAGTAACAATATGAGTATATGTAATGGGTTCCAACCATCGATTACTGTCATCTCTCGGACCCCTTACATGTAGTCTACATCTACCTACATGACTCATTTCACTTGTCAGTGACTTCATGGATTTGTGCCATGATTTGGTCTAAATGCCCCTAGCTTTCTTCCAACCTACTCCTACACCACAAAACATAGCTCGTCGAGGCAGTCGGTGATTAGGCATACGTAACATATGCAATCGATACCTAGTACTTGTTTCCTAACGATAGCATTGTTTACTCGATGGTCGCAGGATACGCGAGCATGGCTTTGGAGACAAATAACTTACGAATATACTCAACTCTTACCGGTCATTTTTCACAGCCGTATAGTAGGACGGAGTGAACCACTGCACAGTACACTCGTTCTTTGGTTAGCAAATGGATATCTCGCCTTCGCTATAAGCGATGCAATTTGGCAAACGCCAATCAAGCCTTCTGTATCCGTGCTGAGATTCCGTCAGTCACTAGGCCATCAGCACTGATGAGACTACCGAGGTAAGTGAAGCGGTCATCACGCTGAACTACTTTACTATCTAATGCTAGTTCACATGCCGATACAAGCCAATCTTGAAGCAACATTTTGCATATTGAGGGGGGAGAATCGCATCCCGAACATGCTTACGTTGTTGCTTAGGGTAGTCAGGAGACACTGCATTTTGTCAGCGTCTTCACTAAGTGCAACTATGTCATCAGCATACTCTAAGTCAACAAGCGTGTATCCTGGAAGAAAGTCCACTTCTGAAGAGTCAAACGAATATAATGTTAACTCTAAAAGCGCGGGATTCCAGAGTCCTTGTCACGTATGCCTGTTGTCCTATTTGACACAATGTCCTTACATTAAAGACTCCAACACGGGGTTTCAGGAGTCCAGTAATAACGTTTAGTGAACGTGAATTGTTTGCATCAGCGGTGCAAGATGATAAAGTGATGTGAGAAGAATGAGTCGTGAAGATAAGAGAGATGTTAGGGGTTGTAGGAAGGATTTGATAGTGATCAATTCGGTCTTGTTTGCTGTTATGAGTCCGAGGGAGGATGTCACTTCCTGACTGCGCACACAGTGAAAGGGTAGCTGATCTCGTACTGGCTGCCTATCTACCAGGTTTTCTATACTTCTAACATTGACTTGGAATAGAAGTATGTTGCCTAGCTTCTATTGTTTTACTATTTATTTTAAGCACACATGGGCACTTAGCACACTGGACAAAATCATACCTTAAAATAAAAAATCACATTTATGCAGAAGTCAAAAGTGGTTGTGATCCGGACTAACTTTAAACGAGTAGTTATGTTATGCTTTTGCAGTATAGCGAACGAGTGAACTTATTAGGTGTTAGACGTTAAATTCTTTATAAGTGTTTTGCGAAGGGGTACCTGATAATTAGAAGTTATTAATCTTGATCTACTTGTGTTCGAAACATACTTGACATCTTTGACAGTTACCAATTTACCCCATGCTGTACGCTGTCTGACAGGAAATTAGAGTGTTAGGAATGCTGCATTATGTTTAAACCAATATAATAGGAACTTTCATAACAATTTACCGTTCATATCCCTCGTGTTGGTAGAACCAAACATCTCTATTGTAGTTTGTAAAAATGTTGTGGTAATTTAACTTCAAGTATTAAATGACAATTCTAAAAATTGATATCTCAATTTTCTGAAACGTATTTATTCTTTATCTACTGCAGTTTTGAACATTTAATTATCCATACTTTCATCTTTCAGTTTCATTATTTCTCATGTTTCGTTTCGTTTTATATTCATGTGGGTATCATTAGTTTTACTTATATACTTTCCTTGTTGTCAATTTATTTCCTGTACGTTGGTATAAAGAATAACTTTCTGGACTAACACATATTTTGGCTGGATTCTTAATTGAGATTTTGTATGTTTGATACTAAGAGTAATGTAATTGATTACACTTTTAACCAGAAACATTCTTCATCCGTAATTATATAACAGGACAATTTTCTGATAAATATTCACCTTTAGTACGAAATTAAACTCTCTTGATCTAAACTAATAGATGGTTGAAAAATACATTACACATTGATTCGTACTGAATAAAAATTTGAATTAGGTGCTGTAGATTAAGATCTAAATCACTAATCAAAGTTTGGGTGCATAATCCGCTTGGATGTAATGATACACACGGATATATTTCAATATTTTAAAGACACTTTTTTTGGTAGTTTACCTCAGAAAAATTTTATATTTTCCATTCAAACATATTATTCATTTTTTGTAGCTTAATTCCGAAATCCTAGCTGTATTCACGGAAGTAACTGAATCAATTCATGAGAGTGGAAGTCATATTGAATTTGATGGTCTTTTGAAAAATGTTAATCTTCATGAAGTATGTTACTGAAAGTATTAAATTATTATTATTATTATTATTATTATTTTCCCACATTGAATCGTTCATTTGATTACGCATAATTTTCAATGTCTATCTGTTGTTTATGATTATTTACCTAAAACAATACTCACTTAACAATCGTACGTAATAAGTGATTCTTCAGTCAATTCATCTTATAAATTACTGTTTCGCCTTATAAATTTAATTCTCTTCAATAACTCCTAGATTATTCGATATGGTTCATTTATTCTGGAAGCGTTCTAGTGACATTGCTTATCAGTATTCTAAATTAAATGTAAAAATAAGGTTGCTATTAATCGGTTTATAATATTTAACTTGAATATTTAAAATTACCATCATTTCATTATCCTACTTATAATGACTAAAGTAACTATGAATAAAATTACTGTGTGGTTCGTTGTCGATATCTTACTATGAACAACACCAATTGATAAGTTTGACAACATCCGTTATTACCACGTGTCTCACTGTGTCACAGGGATATCAGAACACAACAACTGACGCCTATCTACAGAGATCCGTTATTTTCATATATATTTTACAATTGATATGTGGTCGGGTAATTTATATTGATTGCTTCAGGATTAGAATAAGAATTATTATAGCATTGTTCTGTCTATAATGCCGACAGTAGTCAGAATTTGGAGTAGAGAAAATTAATTCTTATTTACCAACGAACTTGAATGTTAATTCCTTCCAATTAAACCAATTTCTATCAGTGTTGTAGAAGCGTGTGTTTAATTTTTGTCTGCTTTTATTATTCTTTTTCCACTACCGTTAAGAATTCCTATGTACGAATAAATGTTCGACTCCAACAAATCACATAGTTCACACGTCTTAACGATCATTCTTCTCAGAATTTTAACTTTTCGACATATCTTAATTTAAGAAATTATATCCATTTCAACTACCATAATGATTAACTAATTGTTTTGCTAATAATAGGGTCGAAAATACTGTGTTTATACTCAAAAAGGTGACTGCTACTCAAATTTCTGAATAGTTCATCGTCATCAAACATTCTCAATGATACCAAAACCATGACATAAAATAATCTAATTCATGGTTGTGGTTGAGCCCGGTTCTAGTACATTTTTCATATGCTTGCTCTTCAAACCTTTACAAGATCTCCTAAGTTTTCCATTAGATTGCAAATTAAACCCCGATTCTTTGAAACTTAAAAAACTACTTGGTTTACTTGTTGATAATCGACCACTTCTATTATTACTCAAGTGGAATGTTTGTATATATTTTTTAGGAATGACAGTCTTACATATGAGAGGCTCATAGTTTTCTATTTCAAACTCTCTCACGTGAATAAAACTAACTGTTTTTATAACATAATCGTTTTTAACTGCAGTTTATTCGGTTTCAAATTCTATTGTTAATTTATGTTTGATGGTAACTAAGAATCATCCTTCAAGTTATCGACCTTGGCAACCTTGGTTCCCGTTGTCTGTTCAGACAATTTTCAGTTTGTTGGATTATTTAAGACATTGGTTACGGATTCAACAAGAATATCAAGCAACAAAGTCAACTGGAAAATCTGGCACTACTGTTCAGAATGTCCCTGTGGATGTCACTACTCTCCAACATGCTGTAGCATCGTCTGAGGGTGAGTATCGTATTATGCTTGATTTTAAAAGTCACATAATTCGTACATAATACTATTTTATCGTGTATCATTTTCCACATTTTAGGTATCGATCGTGTTTCCTCATTTCTTAAGAATATTCCTAATTTATTGCAAGCTAAGGCCAGTCTTCGTTGTGGCAGCTTCGCTAGAGCTTTGTTACACTGGGAACTAGCATACGGTGAGGATACACAGGCTCAACAATCGGCATTTGTCACTGGCACTGCTATTTGCCGATCTAATTCTGACCGTACTCTTGGATTTACGAAAACGTCTTCAGACCAAGTTGGAATGAATCCTGTTTTATCTTCTGATATACAACCTACTCTGCAGTTCTCTGTTGGGCTTGGCAAAACAAGTCTAACAATCCTTGTCGGTCTGCTTGATACCTATGCATCTTTACACGATTCAGATGGTATGAGGTATTTTTTTATTGCAATATACAAGCAGAATGTTTTTATAAACTAATTACTGAGTCAGTTTATTCTTAACTTATGGTAGTTTGCACGTCACTAGTCTGTAGTTGTGCAGGTACAACACTTTTCTGTTATTGAGGTTCTAGAAATCGTCCCAATTTCGGTAATAAGTTGTAGTTTGCAGAAAAATGAAATTTATCTTAGTTTTGTTATCTGTTCAACGATTTTACATACTTCTAGCTTGCTTCATTGAAGGCATCAATGCTGTAACGATTTTATAATCAGTGTAACTGTGCATTCACATTTACTGTGTATCCAATACTGTGACCTTATTCAAATCATATGTTTTGCTTATCGTCTATAATTTTCTTTCTTTAGTCAATTCACTGCTGAAATGTGCGTCCTGAAATATTCATCCGTCTTATGATTTCCCATTAACTTCATGGACAAATATCTAAAAAAACTTAACATTTATCTTAAGAAATGATTCCGTTGTTTTTTGCATTCATTGCGTAAATTATTATTTCCTGTAATTTCGAAAACTTACATAATTTTATTTCTGGACAATTTTTAATTAGTTTACTTAATGTTTAATGATATAGACTATTATATTCAGTACTTGGAATTTTTAGATAATATTTGATTAATATATTAAATTGTACCATATCACTTCATTTTATTAGAATCTCACTTCCAATACTTGGATAAGTTTGACTATCCGCAACAACTTTGTGACATTCATCTTTTTAACTATAAATTATTATATGTAGCAAATTAATTATAAATACGATTGTATCGCTTAAAAATGTTGTACCATTAGCCAAAATTTCCTTCACTGAAACGTCTTCATTCTTTTTAATGAATCAATAGGCTTCTTTAGTAACATGTAAACAAAATTCAATCAATGATATACAGAAAGCTGTGCAAGCATCAGTGATATCTATTAGCAAGTTAACTCGAGTATCATCTGCTAAGCTAATGGATACTTGGAAACTCTGAATCGGATGAAGATCTAAGGTAGCATAATCATATGCTGATAAAAAGCCTACATAATAGGGTCCTTTTGTTGTTTCTAGTTCAACTAGCTGATCATTTTCAAGGTATTAGTTTTGTCCATCAACATTTCACATTTCGTACCTTGATTTTGTACTCTGGGTATCTGAAATTACTTGTTTAAATGTTAATTTTTTTGTGTATTTAACATCGTATTCATGCTTTTTTAAATTCCAGGTTTAGCAGGTGTCTTATCAGCTACTCAATTAGCGTTTACCGCTTTCGAGCATGAAGTTACTAAGGAAAAAGAACATGAGTCAAATGCTTGTAAAAAAAATAACAAGTTGTCAAGTGATACATCACAACGGTTTTCGCTGCTTCGTGCTCTAGAATTAGAAAATGAGGGACAGCTAGATATGGCAGCTGCTGCATATGAACATAGCTTAGCTACTTCTGATTCGAATTACCGTTGTTCACAAAGTCAGCAACCTTCTAAAGAAATTCGAGATAACCAACATTTACTAATGTACAGTGGTCTGTTTCGTTGTGAACTTCCTGATCCAGCTAGATTACATGGTCTGGTTGAACGAGCCGGTGCTCTTGTGAGAAAATCCAAGTCTCATTTGAATACTTATTGGAATAAAACTGTTTGGGTAGACTGTCTCAACGCTCACCGTGCTGAAGCAGCTTGGCGGTTAGGTGACTGGGATACTCTACAAGAAACTACTAATATGGTATGTTTTCCTCACAAATTCATTTTTCTATTTTCACTGATTGCCTGGCTAAGTAAGGTTAACTGTACACGTGTAAATCTCAAATATTAAAGCAAAACAAAATTTTGTATGTATTGGAAAATATGTCTCCTATGAAATATGTAGTATTTCAGAACTTGATACAGGTACTTGTATTTAGGACAGCATACACACATTCAAAAAAAGATAATTCTCAATTTTAACTATTAAACAGATTGGACAAATAATACCAAATGTGATATGTAACAGTTGATAAAACTAGAAATAATAAATACCTTAACGTTTGTTATTTCATAAACAATATCGATTGAACTTCTTTTAGTCTTCTAACATTGTTTCTTCAAACCTGTTTCAGATATTGTTCATATACACTGGAAAAGAATATTTTATATAAATTTAATTGCCTTGAAGTATTTTATAACACTAGTTTGAATCGCCATTTCTCACGTCCTCGTGAAGTGTACTTTGACTATTGTTTTGTCTTTCCTAAAAGTTTAATAACAAATAACCATTTCTTTCTATGTAATCGATATTCATAGATTGTAATTTTTGATAATTTCTCCGCTTTCCAAATAGTAATATTGTCATCCCGAAAGCACATAGTAATACCCCTATATATTGAACTTGAATAATAAACATCATTAGTTCACAGAGGTTTTCATGGGATTTCCGTTTTATCAGAACTTGATTCATCTAAGTAGTTACAAATATTTGTTTTTTCATGTCTTTTTGTTTAAGCTAATACCTCCCATATATTTTTTTAGAACCTCCTTGAATGCTCCTGGTCAGTTGGACTAGGGCGGTTATTTTTGGCAATGAAAGATAAGGTTAGTTTTTATATTTCTATGTAGCTGTACAACTACAGTGTTGGAGACAATTTACCATTATGAACTGAATAAATTATTTGTACAAACTTGACAAAGTTAACTGCTAGTAAAAAGTGTATTTTTATTTCTATTATTATTAATAATAATAATACTATTATTATTATTAACATTATTACTATTATTATCTGGATATCAATAGGATATATCTCGGCAAATTTGAATGATATGACGTTGATATTGTCCACCTGATCATAGTTCGAACAGAACAGTTATGCGAAATATTGTTATTTATTAACCTCAGCAAACTTACTTGATTAGTTCTATGTAAAATATATTTACGGTTTAGGTCTTGGATTTTCAGCCTAACTCATAATAGATCAAGTATAATTCCTAAAATAATAATCATCTTGTCGTAGAGTGTTTGTTTAGATGCAATATAATTCCAAAATAGTGTTATTTCTGCTTTTTTTAGTAATCGTTCTTGTTTCTTATCTCTTCGAATAAATTTTGTTGTAGTCTGACTTTTCCGTCTAGTGATTTACGTTGTTTATTTGTTCTTGAATTCCTTTGTGAACATTTGAAGACAATATGCTTAAAAAGTTCACAGTGCGTTTTAGAACATATCTTTCATGTGCGTGATTTGGATTTATATTACTCTAATTTCTTATTTCAAGTGGGATTTAATTTTCGGGTATTCCTGACAAATTGAATTCTTTTTATCAAATCGTTTTACAAATGTACCGGAGTGTGCTATTCCTGGAGTTATGCAGGCTTGCAATAGTGCTACGTCTTGAGACTGTTGACCAATACTAGGTGACAAGATATTAATCGGAATCCTGATTCTAATTTGGTTTATTCCGCTTCTAGTATTTACTCTGTAGCTTAGTGTCTGATTTGACCAATTGCATGTTATCCGAGTATTATTAACTGTGAGTCGGCAGCTAATTCTCTATCCGCCTATCAACTTTTTCGTATCTTTCTGTCTTGCCTTTGAATCCAATAGTCACTAAGTAATATTTGCCGAATTTTTTCTTCGAACAGATGTAGTTTATATCTAAGTAGACAAGACCAACTCGTACCATCAACAAAAACTGACAATTGAATGTGAATAAGTCGATAAGTGGTTGTGAATCGGGGAAAATAGAAATCGTAAACTGGAACAAATGAGGAATAGTATATAGTCTTACAATAGTAGTTAATTCGCCTAATGGAAGCACTTAACAAAAGGATTATATTTACACAGTAATCTAGTTACTTAATTATAAAACCAGGAGATGTATGTAGAGAATAATATTCCATAAGTTAGTACTGGGAGTCACCATTTCTTCAATCTTCGTTCTGATATGACGAATGGCTATTCAAATTCTTCTGTTGTTAAAGTGTGATTTTTATTTTGATGACATTAGAGTGTTAAACCGTTCTCCGTGATAATTATCTTTTGAATGATCGAAGTATTTTCAGAAATATTTTTGACACTATATTTATTTATTGATTTGTTTAATTTTAACTTGTTTGTATGTTTACCGACTTGATCATCAACCTTTATTTTAATTGATTATTACTTTTTCGTAGCGAACATCTGATTGGTCAAAAATCTTAGCCCGTTTAAGAATAGATCAAGTGACTGAACTTGGTGCTGCTGCACTTGAAGGTCCTGGTGGCTATACACGTGCTTATGATACAATAGTTCGTCTAAGCTCTTTATCTGACATTGAACTGATCAATTCTTTAGGTGATGTTATCATTAGTGAAATTCGAAATCCGACAAGTTGCCGATCTTCTGACAGTCATCTTTCAGTGAGTTAATTATTTAAAATTTACATATATTACCTTTTGTTCGATGATCTTCTTTTGGGATTGAGTTTATCAATATTTGTTTTTGTTGATACTCTTCCTGTTATCATTCTCGTTTAGTATAGACGTTTAGTATCTTTTTCAATCTGGTTCATATCATATCAGCCGTAAGATTAGTCAGTTACATATTTCATGAAAACATAATCGTGTCGACTATTCACCAATAGTTAGTCCATGTAAGGATATCATAGATATTTTTCATTATGGTTGTTAACGCATATATTTTGAAGTATATCTTTAAGTTAGAAGTTTAATTGAATGGTTCTTTTTGTCATTGAGTAAACTTTGTCAATTACAAGTGTTATTTTTTATGACGTCTCACCTACAGCAGTTTTTAAAATCTATACACTGATTCTCATAAAATGTATACAAGACTAGTAACGAATTGTTCTCAGACATGCAGATGCTGTATACTCAGCTGAAAAAAAAGTCTGAACTATAAATTGTATTTTCGAGTGATGTATGCTCGTTATTTACATTATCTCTTTTAACTTCTCGTTAGTATTGTAAGCAATATACAACTATCTTATTTCTAGTGACTAAACTGATCTTTAATAACATATTAGTGATAAGTCAACTGATGTATGAATTAGAATGATATTAGTATTTCACAAATAATATCACTTAAATCCTTTACAACAAATTTTTATATGTATGTTTCTTACATTTTTTAGAATACCGTTGAGACGTCTTTAAAATTATTAGAAACTCGAATTCGTGTTAGTCGACCAACTTTTCATACATTGGAACCGGTTTTGGCTATCCAACATGCAGCTTTACAGCTTATCACTTCGGCTCTCAGCTCGTTGAATACCGATACATATCAACTATCTAATCGAGAAGTATTGAATGCTATAATTTCTCGATTACGTACTGCCCTAGGTTATAATTGGCTAGAACGTGCTAAACTAGCAAGAAAGTAAATTTTAACTACTGATGTTTTCCTTCAAATTTCAAATGCTTTTCACAACATTAATTTATAGGATTAAAATAGTTGAATATCACACATTTGAAATCATCAATCAATCATTATTAGACCACCATTAGAAACCTGAAAGGATTTAACGGCCGTTTCGTCCTGGTATGTAGCTCATCAGCGGTGAGCATCCACGACTCTTGTCTCTCGAACCCGGGACCTTCGGTATTGAGCGCGAACGCTTAGCCTTTCGACCACTGAGACAGCATCTAACGATATTAATGTCTAACTCTGATTGGTCGGGGGATTTCGCGCGACCTCACCTATTTGTCTTTGGTAGTTACTGCCTACACCCGACAGAGTTGAACTTCACTGGTCACGTCTATCACAATATTATTATTCAACAATTTTTGTGAGTATTTCAATTTTCACTAATTGTTCTGACATCAAATCAAATCCCTTCAGACAGTGCATTTTTAACGGTGTATGGTAAATATGATTTATTTCAGCGTACAAGTTTATCACAGAAATTAAGCTGAAAACAGATGCTGAGAAAAAACACCGTGATTTCATACTTTGCAGACACCCCGTACTTGTTAGCTTACTCATGTTGTGCAAGTGCTCGATCATCTGTGCTTAATTGTTCAATGAAGTGTCATATTTCCAATACTCAGTGATTTTTAGTAGCTTTCTGGTTAATATCAATCCACAATGCCTAATTGTATCTGTTAATTCCAAGATACCTAAAACTTAATCCATTTTATTATTGACTATTTTTTTCACGGCAAACACTTTACAACTTGATTTGCATATCAGATCTGGACAATTTATGGCAGCTTATACTTGTGTTCTTCGCGCTGAAGACTTTGGAATTCCAGACGCTCTACTTGAAAGAGCTAAATTATTATGGCAGACTGATAAAAGAGAAGCTGCTCAAGCATGTTTGGACAAGGGCATACCAAATGTTTTCGGCTGTGGTATTTCGAATGTCCATAACAACTCATCCAATGGGAATATTGAAGTTTTTACAGAATATCGAACCATTTCCGCACAACAGGTAAACATGTACGCAAATTAAATGAATTACTTATGAAATTTTTCGGACCAAACAGATTCACTGTAGTGAATTTGAAGTAAATTAAGTGTTGTTGTCATTAATGCTTATTATACCGAAATACACATACGTACATTGATAGATACAGTTGTAAACGTATGAATTGATAGTCACTTGTATTACACTAGTTCATTGATGTTCACCAACACAATATGTCTCTCAAATATATGATTTTTTAAAGGTATGTACGTTTATCTCGAGTAGTAATCATATTAAGTTACACACCCTAGATATGTACTTTCTTGAAAGTTTCAAACAAGTACTTCTAAGAAACTCATCCCATCTTGTTGAGTAGTTACATTTGCTTACTTACTTACGCCTGTTACCTCCAATGGAGCATAGGCCACCGACCAGCTTTCTCCAACCAACTCTGTCCTGGGCTTCCCTTTCTAGTTCTTTCCAGTTTTTGTTCATTCTTCTCATATCTTTCTCTATTTCTCGGCGTAATGTGTTCTTTGGCCTTCCTCTTTTTCTTTTACCTTGAGGGTTCCTTGTGAGGGCTTGTCTTTTGACGCAGTTGGGTGCTTTTCTCAGTGTGTATCCTATCAACTTCCACCGCTTCTTCCTGATTTGCTCCTCCACTGGCATCAGTTACATTTGCTACTATCAGATTATTATTTACAAGCAGCTGGTGTAAATATATAGATTTTGAGTTTTAATTCTAGATGTGTATTGGCTTATATGTCCAATTTCACTTTACACTATCCTCTTACTAAACATCCGTCATTTCAAACTTCTAAAATGTATAACATGTCTGTTTATTGCAGGTATCACTGCGTTACTGAGTGTTCGATAGGATAAATTAATAATCAGTGTATAAATAAGAATTGATGCTTAGTTTTATTACCAAAATGTTTGTTGTTAGTAGCTAGTTAAACTATACTTCTAGGTTCACTACAGTTTGAAATCAGACAAGTGAAGTTTTAATATACGTAAGTATTGTTGTCTTATCAGCTTTAAGAAATTTCAAAATTAGTATAAACTATCTAAATTACTAAGGACTAACGATAATAGTTCATTTTCATACATAGTATATTTCAAAATGTATCACAGACTCAAAACAGTTGATATTTTCGTGTGGTATTCTATAGTGTATATGAATGATTGTTTTCAATCTTCGATTATTAATTGTATGTTCATTATTCAGGCTTTGCTATTACGTATTCGTTATTGTGAAGAAACAAATAGATATGATTTCGAAACTACTGGAAAACTCTATGAACAAGTTTGCAGTTTTAATTCAGGTTATGAAGAGGCTCATTTCCGTCTTGCACGGTATGTTGACAGAGCTCGGAATCAAGCAGTTGGCTGCAAACAACAAAAGTATGTACGATTTCATGCTTGAAAATGTGTTAGTAACCTATCATTGTAAGATCATTGGCTTTTTTATGTTCTTTTTAATGTATTACTTTGTTGTTGAATATCTACAATTCAGTAGTATGTACGATTTATCATGAACTATATTTTTACTATAATCAATAAACAAAATAAAATTAGGTGTGAATCTAATGATTCGTCCTACTATGGGATTTGTGGGTCCTCATTGTTTTGCAGTCTCACTGAAAGACAAAACAGCTGTCTAATGCTTCCTGGTTTCCTATGGTGATGTATCTAAGTTTCGTAGTTTAAACGAACAAAAGGTATTAGTCATTATAGTATAAATGCACAAGTATTAAATAAGAATTATGAAAGGGTAATAGTGGTTGAGCACTCATTTTTTATTGATCAGATTCGAACTTACTTGAATTCCAACCAACTGATCTAGTCTCTTTGATCAAAGGATATTCTTATCGCTTTTAATCCTTACTTGACCATTGATAATTTCGTAAACAATCTTCTTCTTCATAACTGTTAACTTCTGTATGCATCTTCACTATGTCATAGAAATTCTTAGTTTCTGTTTAACACCAACAATAGAATTTATTTTGTTAATACACAATTTTATGGTCTTTTATTCACTTAAATTCTTTATTAATAATATCGCAAAGTTTATCTTTATCCTTTACTATGTAATGAATACTAAATTTGAGTTTTGAGATAATTTCAATCATTCACTTAAGATGTAAAAAATCCATTTAAGTAAAGTTTTCATTCAATTTTTTAATATTTTTAATACCGCTTTTATTGGCTTTTATTTTTACAGTGCACTGATCAAAGTAGCCTTAAAACACTATGGTTTAGCTTTGAGCTATGGTAGCCAATTTATCTACCAGTCAATGCCAAGATTATTGACATTATGGTTGGATTATGGTCAAGATTCTGTTCGTAATTTTCATGAATTGAATAAGCCTCAAAAAAACGCTGAAGAAAATAATCCACAATCAGAACAAAAAGTTTTTAATGAAGTTCAAGAGGTTAGTTTGCCCAACAGCAGATAATAATAATAATAATGATCAATAAATTGTTTTGTTATTTTGAAACTTGAAATTTGTAATAAATGTTTAGAAGGAGTTTTCATATTTAGGTGGCTACTTTTCTGCCTCTCATGTTTGTTATATACCATTAACTTGCATTATGTTCTTTTATTCAGGTGTCCTACCATGCTTACCTTATTTATCTTCATTTTCGTAAGTGAATTTAATGTTGTATGAGGGCATTATAATCATTTGACCAACGAGGAACAACATGATCCGACTTGAACCATCTATCCAAGCCAGCTCATTCCTCTCGCATCTTAAACTATTATCATACTTGCAAATTCAACTCTATTCTGTCACATTTTTTCACACCCATTAAAGGACCTAAATGTACATGCACATTTCTTATCAATCCCTTTGACCGGAGTGACATGCAATTAACTTGGTCAGATCTATTTTTGATTAAGTTTACTCAATATTTCTGCGTTATTCCGTTGTGCTACTTAAACGCAGAGTAATTCCATTCGTTCATTTATTGTTTGAAGAAATGTCTTACACTGAGTCATGAAATGTCAGAAAATTTCAACTTTTGTACTCGTTTGTATACTAGAAATATGTAGATTTTATCATTATTAACAATCTACCCAATGCTCAATTTAATGTAAACTATTAAGTTAAATCTTAGTATTGTTACCTATGTGTGTAATATCTGTTACTTGGGAAGTTTCGGTTGACAAGTTAGTTTACTATGTCATGGTAGTGGCTACAGTCAATACTTTTAATATGATAGTCAAAAGTTATCCAGATCAGCGGTCCGGATTCCGTAATGATCGATTGTATACCGGATGATTACGGATCATTCTGGAACAATCAATTTACATGGAATACACCATTCTACATAGACTTCACTGACAACGAGAAAGCATTTGATAGCGTGGGCAGGATGACGTCATGGAAGCTTCCTCGACACCACAGTGAACCTGAGAAGGTAATCAACAACATACGGGATTCTTATGATGGATTAAACTGCGAGATCGTGCACTTAGGACAACTGACAGACTTGTTCAAGGTGAAAACTGGTGTCAGGCAAGGTTGCTTACTCATCCTTTTTCTCTTTCCTGGTTGTCGACTGGATTACGATGACATCAGAATCTCAAGGGAAACACTAAAATAGACAGCCAGTATGCAGCTGGACGATATGGACTTCCCAGATGATATAGCTCATATCACACACGCAACCACAACAGCAGCAGCCTCTGCTGCATTAGGTCTCAACATACACAAAAGGAAAAGCGAGATTTCCCTATGCAACTCAATACGCACCAACCAAATCATACTTGACGGAGAAGCTTTGGAGCATGTAAAACCCTTCACATATTTTGGTAGCATCATTGATGAGCACGGTGGGTGTGATGTAGATGTGAATACGCGGATCGACAAACCAAGGACAGCATTTCTACAATTGAAGGACATCTAGAACAACAAACACCAAAGTCAAAATTTTCAATACAAGTGTGAAGACAGTCCTACTGTATGGGGCGGAAACTTGGATAACTACGAAAGTCATCATTCATAAGATACAAGTGTTCATTTACAACTGTTTACGCAAAATACTTCGGATTCACTGGTCAGACACTACCTACAACAACGTACTATGGGAGAGAACAAACTAGATTCCAGCAGAGGAAGAAATCAGGAAGAAGCGCTGGAAGTGGATTTGACACATTGGGGAAAGCACCCGACCGCGTCACAAGACAAGTCCTCACCTGGAATCCTCAGGGCTAAAGGAGAATAGGGAGGCCAAGGAACACATTACGCCTAGAAATGGAGACAGACCTGAGAATAATGAACAACAATTGGACAGAACTAGAAAGGAAGTGCCAGGACAGAGTAGGTTGTGAAATACTGGTCGGCGATCTATGTTCTTTGGGGCTAACTGGCGTAAGTAAGTAATCTTTTAAATGGGTATTATTAGCTTTTACGATGTAGCTAAATTTACAAAAGCTATGCTCCACTGTTACTTTATGCCTAAAAAGATAAACAAGTTACTCCCTTCTCGTCAAAATTTATTGTTTGTTGTACTTAAACTTTTAAATTATGATCGTTGTGGAAGTACTCATACTTTATTCTTTTTCCCTCGTTTCAGCTCATGCGCATTAATTGTCAGAAAATTCCTGTTTATCAATTTTACACAGCTCTTAGTCAACTATTATCACGTGTTTGCCATGAAGTCCCAGCCGTAGTTACTACGCTAATCGAATTAGTAGTTCGAATTTTTGAAGCTTATCCTTTGCAGACTATGTGGTTTTTGATCCCTCTGAATGATGTAAGCAGTCTAGTTGTCGAGTAGCATATTTTTGCCTATTTATGTTATTGTGTTGCCACCACCGAGATATATTCTAAAGAATGAACCCTTTCTTGTTATTTCATGACTAGTCTGGGTCATTGCCTAAGCTAATTTTAAGAGATAAAGTATTTGAACGCATCAAACACTTCATCTATCTTGGTAGCTCAATCGATCCTTGTGGCTGGTTTGAAATGAGTTCTCAGCACAGATTCCAATAGTTCTGCTGGCCTTTAGCAACTTGAATTCCTTCGATAGTATGGAATGAGCACGTCTATCAAAAAAGGAGGGGTGTGATTCAAAACTGTTTGTCCTGTTCTGCATGATAACTGTGACTCCGCGCCTCTAAATATCTAGACCATTCGTGCATTACTATTACATGAAAGTAAATGCCTTCGAAATATTGCTCGTTTTTTCCGGATCGCCATGAAATGTTCACTGTGGAATACTAGCTAAATATAAGAAATCACTCCATTCACTTGTGTTCATCTTCGGCCTCTAACTCCGAATTCGGCTAATCTGCAAACCCTTGGTTTTAATTTAGGCATACAAAATATAGGTAGCAATTGTTTATCTAAAACATACTCGTTGATTTGCTGACAGATACATCAATGTGTTGATTCTAGCTACTATGATATAAGTCATGAGAAAAAGAGCAGCAATAACAAAACATAGTTTAAAGCAAACTCATCGTTTTTGAATGGGTGGATATTGAATATCTTGTTATCCTGTTAATGAATACATAACCGATGGCTTGCCATTTCTCCAGCTGATTACTCTCATCTTTGGCAACTGTCCGTCTTGTTAAAAGTAACCATGTTCTACTCCATAGATTGAATCCTTGATGAACAGTTACTTCTAGCATAAACAGAATCTGCTGGAAAATACTAGTCACTTTTTTGTGATTATAAAAATCTAGTTGGTTACCATCCCAATGCGACTTAAACGACTTATGACAATTTACAGGTTTTATTCGAACTTATAGTCATATATGATTCAATTTCCACCCCGACCTAATTAGTAGGTTCGGGCTCCTGTCCTTGAATAATTAAAACTTATTACTTATGAAACTACCAAACTGCTAGGAGTATTGATCGAACCAGTGCTTGACATGTAGTGTTAAAACTACTGAGTCTCACCTTCTTAGTATAGCTATCATTCCTTATAGATTAGCACAGGCACTTTTTTAAGCTTTTTGCTTGACTAATAAGACTACCCCATTCTCACACCTCAAATATAGTTACTGACTAATAATGTTTGTAGGCTAATCGTTAAAAAATATAGTGCCAAAAATTTAGCTTTTATTAAATAACAAGTGTATGAATTTTCATGTTTTTAGTTTATTTTATGCATTTTCTTATTTCGATCTATAGTCTACTGTCCGCCAGAGAAGAGATCGTTGTCAGCAGATTTTTAACTTGATTAAGTACGTCAATAACTATGTAGCATATATCTAACCTACCCTACTTATTTTTCTCTAGGGTAACTCATTATTTTGTTTTTTATTGAACTATATACTAGTTTCTTTCCTCATATTGCTTACACTCTAAAAAGTATTACCTCTTTCTGTTTTACTTGGTGCAGGCGATGTTTTGAAGTTTGTGTATGGTACAAGAGATGATTTAGTTGTCCAATAGCCTATGTATCCAATAGTCATGGCCTGAAGTCTGACTAATTAATGCATACCGCCATATTCCTTTACTACAGCTCTTATGATAGGTCTGTTAAATTGGTGCTTTTTGAATGCTGACTTACCATTATTGGTTCCATTTATCTTTAGGAAGTAGGACATGCTCTTTCCAATCGTCTACTCATGTGCTTCAGGATCAATGTGATATCTATAGTTTTGCTCTTCAATCAATCAATCAATAGTACGTACATCAGTTCATGTTACCAGACCACATTAGCACAGAGATGTAATTGTTAATTCAAATCCAGCACTACTGAAGGTTTTAGCAGTAGTCGGAGAGGTTAGGATTAGAATATATTATTAAAGAAGTACAATCTAGTGAAATAAACTTAAAAAGATAAAGATAAAGTGATGAAGAATTAAAAAGTTTAAAATTTGAGAGAACACAAAAAATGAATGCACCTGCGCCATTGCAAACGATTTTGAGCCATGTCATTCAAGAGTTTTGCTCTTGAATTGTTGTGTAATATAACTTATTGTCTTTCAATTAGGATTAATGTGTTTTAATCAGTAAAAATCAACGTAGAACTTGTAACGTATATTCATTAGTTCAAATTGCTACATCACATCTGCACAGGAAGACTCTATCATGTTATAATGAATGGCAGTATTAGTGACAGATTAGTCACTGATGGTTCGTTCGAGAAAATATGGATTCTTGTAACAAAAACATATTAAGCAAGAATTAGACACTTATGATCTGAGGGGAAGACAACGGGTGAATGCATGTTACCTGGTATTTCTAGACATTAGTTACGAAAATCACGCGGGTTTAAGCCAGGCCTTCTTTACCCACTTCCATGACGCAGTCCCATAATCAGTAACTTCATGGACTGAATAAGGATTGGTTTGAACATCCCTCGTTTTCTTCCAACCTACTCCTACACCAGCAAACATAGCTCGTTAAGGTATGTTGGTTAATGCCTTTCTAAGTGCGTATACCTTTTAATGCTTGTATATGTTGAAACGTTACTAGATTATCTCTTCATTGGTATTTCATTCATTTGTTTCACTTTGTTAATGTAATTCATTTACAGAACAAAACAACCGCATTTGTCGAAATTTATCGCTGTAAGTATATACGTTTTGTCACTGTATTTTTCGTTAGTTTTTCTAGAACATTACATTTGTTAACGGTTGGTTTATATTTTTCTAAATAGGATTCTATCGCTTTATGTAATCATTTGAAAACAGTATGCGGGTTATTCATGACAACTGACCGACGAGAACTCTGTAATTTTAGTTTACGTCAAACTGTGCGTCCAATTACACGTCTTATTGAAAGCAGGTAAGCATATATACTTAACTCAAACTACTTACATTCTGTTATGTTGATCATTACTTGTTCATTTATTTATTTTGTCATAAATAAAATTTCTTTCCTTTGAATGTTTCCTATATTTTCTTTTACAAGTGACTTTTCACGTATTCTCATACCAATTCATCGTCAACTAGTTCCTAATCACTTACTACCCAACGCTACTTCGGAACAAATTGCTCATCACTGGCCATTTGCTGAACAATCGGATAGATTAGTTTGTCTTGCACATATAGAGGATACTGTAGAAATATTGGGATCACAGACTAGACCGAAGAAAATGACATGGGTTGGGTCAGATGGTAGGGAGTATATAATTGTTGCCAAACCGAATGTAAGTTTTTCCTATTAGTATATTCCACTCTTATCCAAAGATATATCACGTTAATAATATGCCAAACGATAATGGAAATTTTCATTTCCTAGCTTTTAAATATATCTCACCAACTACTGGGCTGCTGCTGAAAACATTTAGTTCTTACTAATTCTAATCGAATAATTAATAATTAGTGGCTTTGTATTCAGGTTTTCATTTCACATAATCTTACCTGCTTTATTTAGCATGTAAAACCTTGAATAAATCAGTTCTGTCAATTATAAAACATGTATTCAAAGCATGTGCAAATGGAATAATTCATACCGAACAACGTCTAAATACTACTAAAGATGTGATTTCCCTGGTTACATCTAATTTCGTTACATGTTAACTAATATCACCTAATCCCTAAAGTTTTGATTTTATGCCACATTTAAAGATAATACCATTAGACAATTCACATTAGGAGCCTATAATGTTTGGAATAAAGAAATTAATCGTTTTCGAACTGATCCTATCTGAATTCTGATATCCGACTGTTTCGTCAGATTTCTTCGGTGTATTTGATCTTCGATAAACAAATTATAAATTAAATTTAAACAAATTTAATTGAAAACCACATATATTTTACATTGAGAAACGTGTTTAATATCAATAAATTTATTTCAGTTTATATTTTGAAATGCAACGATTTCATGTTTCTAAATAAATTCATTGCAACAGGATGATCTTCGTAAAGATTCTCGATTGATGGAACTAAATGGAATGATTAATAAATTTTTAGTTATCAATGAAAATACTCGACGACGTGCTTTGCAAATTCGTACATATGTAAGTATAAATAACATTAATCAGAAATAAATAATCATTGGTTATCCATTTTTGACCATTCATTGGGAAACAACGTATGAATATATTATTTTGACTGAGCATTTCGCACTTGTTCCTATGCTTTAAATTTGTAGATATTGTTTCCGGTTATCTAACATAATACTTTCACAATCATGTTTTACTAATTAGAATGTTCCTTCACTGTAAAACTTACACTGTGTTTAAGTGATGCTCAATTAGTTTGATTGGTTCTGTATATTAGGTTATGCTCAATCTTACGTCTACTTCTTTTAATGAAATATTTGCTTGATTTCTTTTTCATTCCAGGCAGTAATTCCCTTAAGTGAAAAAGGTGGTTTAATTGAATGGGTCCGTAATACACAGCCATTTCGGTCCATCATCACACGTTTGTATAATGAGATTGGTAAGCCAATCAATTGGGCTAATATGAGTCGTGTAGCACCTTTACTTGAAGATCCTTTATCGTAAGTTCTTTTATTCAGTCATAAGCTTGATGAAGTGTATTCGTATAAACACAAAGTTCTCTTGACCTTAAATGTATGCAAATTATATAATCACTGAAAACTGTAATGTATATAATATCTGTTTCATCTGTAACTCTCGGTTAGTAAATATTCTTAATACTTTAAGATTCCGATTAGAACACTTTATATTTGAATGCACATGTTATTAGATGTATTTCAGCTTTATCCATTCAGCAAAAAAGCACAGTTCATTCACAGTATCGTTAACAAATATTCGCTTTATTAAAAACTGAGAAATATATTCTTGTCTAAAATGAGTCACTGATATGAGTAGATCGTCATTCATGTGTTGGTTTATGGCTCTGTGAATACTAGCCACAAAACATTTGTCTTTATTTCGTTTTGCTAGTTGGAATCATTTGTGTAGTGTTAAACGTATTAAAGTTTGATTAAAACATATTCATACCTTTTTTATTTTACATTGTTATGATTAACCACGTTTCTTCTATTTCTTACTTTTCAGAGTAAAACGTGATAAATACTTAAATAAATGGTTACCGATGTTCCCACTGGTCTTTTATAATTGGTTTCTAGGCACGTTTAACAATCCAAGTTCCTGGTTAGTTTACCTAAATTAGTTTACGTACTATTCTGTAGATTAGTGATCTACATGCCGTGTGTGTAAACTAGTTAATTTTGATTGTTCAGTTCAGAATTATTATGCAATTTTTTCTTGGTTGTTTTGACTAATAATGTAATCGTGGAGTTGCAATCTGCAAAATTAAGTAAATTAGGTTTTTACTTGTGGTTGTGTAAATGACTGGTTTTTATTCTCTCTCTGGGCCCATTTATTCGCCTTTTAAGTCTCAATATCAGCATCACTCTTGATATCAGTTTCAGTCATTCTGAAGCGGATAAGAAGTTACGAAATTATGGTTGATTTCATAAGCTTCTGTGGTATGTAGACGTTGAAAATTGGTTCTAGCTTCGTTGATGACAACTAATTTGTCGCTTTTTTATGAGTTATAATTTAAAACCTCTTTTATAAGGACCCGGTAACAAGCGATACGAATAGACTGTGGATATGTTTTAGGATAGATAGAGATGATTTTCTAGTATCATATGCTTCTATTTTATGTTAAATTATTATTATTGGTTTTATTTTCACATAAGGTATTCAGCAAGGGAATGTTATGCACGTACTTGTGCAGTTATGAGCATGGTTGGTTATGTTCTCGGTCTTGGAGATAGGCATACAGAGAATATACTGTTCGATTCTATATCTGGTGACCTTGTTCATGTTGATTTTTCGTGTGTTTTCAATAATGGTCTTACATTACCTTGGCCTGAACGTGTTCCATTTCGTTTAACTCGTAATATGGTTCATGCAATGGGTCCAACAGGTTATGAAGGTACATTCAGACGTTGTTCGGAAGCGGTTATGCGTTTATTACGTCACGAAATCGACCCATTCTTGGCAGTGTTCCGTCCAATTTATTTTGATGCTGTCGTTGAACAAACTGGAAGTGCGCGAAGCAACGTGTTCCATGGTGGCGGAAGTTGTAAGTATGAAATATATTTTGACTTTGTAGTGTGTATTCTTAAAATATGCAGTGCCCACCACCATTTAAATCAGTTTCTGATAAAACTTAACTCAATACAAGAAATCAGTTTATGTCAATCATTAACTGAAAATTAACAAGAAAGTTCAAACGTCAATGTGCATATCATACGTGATCACGATCACAACGAATTCAAGAATTGTGAACTGAAACAGAACGTTTTATCCAGTGCTCCCTGATTGTCCGTATCTTTCCAGGCGATATCACTGTGTGATGACTGACTGAAAACATATACAAAATCTTCACAAAACCATATAAGCAAAAACAAATATTATATTTGTTCTTTTTTGTAGCTGGACGCACTCGCCGTGGTGGCTCAACAACGGATGGTGGAACATTATCCGATTTAGACTTAACAGAACGTGCTACCAGAGCAGCTGCAGAAAAATTAGCTCGCATGGAAGATCGTCTAAAAGGTAAAATTACAGAACATGATGGATTCAGTCAAATCTTACCTATGTCTGTGGAAGGACAAGTAAGTTCGCAAACTAAATAGACTATATTTTTTACCTATCTGATTATCATGTTAAAATGGATTCTGTGAACAAGATCGAATTATCATAAGCTAGAGGGATATCTGTTATTTGTATGTGATTCTTCTTGACCAGGTACGGCTCAGATATTTCCGAATTCACCTGTTGTAAAAAGTAGTGTCTCATTTTTAAGAAATCAATCTTTTTGTAATACTTTTTTAGTGTTATTGATTCTATGCTCAAAGCCCGTACCCATACAAAATAGTCAAAGTTGGATAGCTTAGTCACTGAATTTCACAAAAATCGCTACTGATGGTTCATATGAACACAACGTGCTTACTTAGTTTCTTCTGAGTATTCATATTATCATAATGTTTCCTTAAAAACTAAACCGTCTATGCTTCATAGATAGCTCATCTAAATCTCAGTAGTGAACAATAACAATCACAAAAATTAAACTTTAGAGTTTTTAACCAGTCTGTTAAATATGGATAACTTGATTTGTTGGTTGACATTTCTCTGCAAAACTATTAAAGTTTACTTAAAAATTTATAAACAATATCATAAAATTATTGTAAGTTTTCTGAATTTATAATCAGCTCAAAAATTGTCTGTACTTTCTATCGATTCATCTCGAAGTAATTTATGGGTTACATAAACCTCATTCTTTCGATAAATTACAACTGTTTATAGATATGATGTCTATTGAGCATAGTACATATTATGCTGCAGGAAAAATAGTTGGTACTTTTTAATCCAATCAGTCTCAGTTACGAATAGTCTATGGCTTATTTCGTTGATACATTTTCAGGTATTACTCAAAACTTCGATCACATTCATTCTGTAACTTCCTTTTGTCTCCTATTTATGTAATAATAATAACAGACAGAATTTTCTGGAATGTTTATTGATATCACTGTTTTGTACGCTAATCATGATCCTATATTACTACCTACATTTCACTGAATTTACGTGTGAAACTAACGTACTAGATAAAACAATCACGAACCGTGGTGCTAGTTAAGCTTATCAAATCTTCTATTCAACATGCCAGAAAGTCTTTATTTACAGACGTAGTTTTCCCAACCAATAATGTTTTTATTTGGTCGCTATCTCCCGACCGTAGCTGCTACCTTGATGTGGTGGGCGGGCTTGCCTATCGTCATGACCCAACCGAGCTATATTGGCAGGAACATATGTTCCTGTAGGTTCTACCATGCCAGGCAGGTCTATTGGAGAACGATGAGACTAAAAGCAGCTACCCAAGGTCTGAGGGCGAAGTCATACTGCTGACTGCTGAGGGGTTTGACAGAAGTAAGGTGTTTCCCTCGGACAAACAGCATCTGCAGCGATGCTGCCTTCTCACAAGGAAGGAAGGGTTAGAAAAGGTCGACCCTAAAAATGTCACACCTCATCCAACCTCACGGATTTCCGTCTCCTTGGGTAAGGGTGCCCACTAAGGGCCTTTAAGAGCGGAGCTAATCCTCAAAAAAGCTTTCACAAAAAGTCCGTGCGTGACCGGCCTCAAGCAGTTGTACCTTGGGCTCTGCGGTCACGCGCCCAGGTCTCTAAGACCAACACTAATCTATTTTACTTTTCAAGTCCCTCAAGAAACAACCTTCCACGGTGTGGGCAGCAGGGAAGTGACAACCGTCCTCATACTCGTAACAGCATACGAGACCAAATTGGTCGAAATCAAATCCTTCCTACACCCACACACACCTCTCTTCTCTCCACAACTAACTCTACTCACATTCCCTTATCTGATTGCACCGCTAATGCAAACGATGCGAGTTCACGAAACGTCATTCCTGGTCTCTTGAAACCCCGTCCTAGACTACATGTTGGACCTTTTAATGTGCGGACATTATGTCAAATAGGGCAACAGGCATCATTAGCTAAGACTTTAGAATCTCATACCATTGGAAACGCACATACAGAATCCTATTAAAATTATTAATATGATTTCGCCTTGTCAAAATAAAGAAGCAGCTCGATTTACTCTTCGTGTATCCGGTAACCCTGATGCTGCCTCCAGAGGTCTTGCTGGCGTAGGCGTAGCATTAGGTCGTATAGCTGAACAATCTCTCCTTGACTGGATCCCAGTTGATAGTCGCTTGTGCGCTGTCCGACTAAACTGGACGGTAAGGACTCGGAAAGATAGGGACACTCGTCGTTGCCTCTTCGTCATATCTGCCTACGCTCCCACTGACTGCAGTTCAGACGAGGTGAAAGATGAGTTTTACAGAAAGCTTTTGGACCTCCTACAAAAAGCTAGGCGCTCTGACATAGTATTGATGGCTGGTGACTTTAATGCTCAAGTAGGTAGACTAAGTGAAAATGAAAGACACCTAGGTGGATGTTATGGTGTCGCGGCTCAGAGAACAGACAAGGGTGACCGTCTGTTGCAAGTATGCTCAGATAACCGCCTATTCTTAGCAAACACTAACTTTAGGCATAAGGAAAAGCATCTGTTGACCTGGCGACCTCCAAAGTCGTCTCAACGTCGGATTCAACTAGATCACATCGCCATCAGCCACCGATGGAGGGGTTCGATAGAAGACTGTCGCTCGTTCTGGGGAACATGTTTAGATTCAGATCATGCTCTAGTGCGAGCGCGTATTTGTTTGAGGCTTACTGGGCGTAGGAAAGACACCTTAAGAAAGCCTCTTAGGGTTTTACTTAATGATAATAAGGCGAAAAATATATTTCAGGAACAACTAGAAAGACAGTTAGAAGACCATATAAGCGATTCCCATCCGAAAGCAGGATGGAATGATATCAAAAAGGCTGTGGAAACAGCAGTGATATCTGCTAGTAACGTTGACCATAACGCTAGAATGAAGCCGTGGATCTCAATAGCATCCACCGATCTCATAGATGCCCGAAAACTCATCCCACCTGACTCTGAACATGATGACGAACGAAGTCAACTTAGGCGCAGACTTATAAAAAGCCTACGTAACGACCGCGAACAGTGGTGGGTGGCGAAAGCAAAAGCGATGGAAAAGGCAGCGGCGATCGGCAAAAGTAGACAACTTTTCCGACTTATCAAAGAAACCGGTATTAAGAACCCGAATGTGAGTGAGACTATCTCGGTAAAGGATGGTCTTATTATCCATTCTCAATCCAGGAGACTGGATCGATGGGCAGAACACTTTAGGGATCAGTTCAACTGGCCACGAGCCACTCTTCAGTTACCCACGATCTCCAGTCATCCTGAATGGCAAATCGACGTAAGTCCCCCTAGTCTTTATGACACTGAAAAAGCGTTAGGAAATGTGAAGCGAGGGCGAGCTGCGGGTCCTGATAGACTGACCCCTGAGATATTTAAAGATGGTGGTCCAGTTTTAGCAACTAGGTCGACTGAGATCATAGGCAGAATATGGGAACTGGACGTAATCCCATCCGACTGGTCTCAATCACTGATTGTCTTAATCTATAAGAAAGGACAGAAGTCTTCTTGTGACAATCACAGGGGAATAAGTCTAACTAATATAGTATCTAAAATATTGACCTCAATATTATTGGAACGCCTAACTAGAGATCGTGAAGAGCAGACTAGAGAAAACCAGGCTGGTTTCCGACCTGGACGTGGTTGTATACATCACATATACACACTACGACAGGTCCTGGAACACAGAACCACATTTAGGCGTCCTACAATAGTTGTTTTCCTGGACCTAAAAGCGGCATTTGACTCAGTGGATCCTGAGGTTCTGTGGCAGTGTCTGTCATTGAAAGGTGTACCAAAGAAGTACATTAACCTTATACAAGCTCTCTACTCGAACACCGCTGGTCGAGTGAGAGCTTATGGCGAACTGTCACCGGAATTCCTCACTTCAAGTGGTGTCCGTCAGGCATGTCCACTTTCCCCATTCTTGTTTAACTTTGTCGTAGACATGCTCCTAAATATAATTTTCTCTTCGTCTGAATTTTGAGTGGACTTTCCACCAGGATGTTCGCCTATTGACTTAAAATATGCCGATGACATAGTTCTATTCGGTGAAGACGCTGACAAAATTCAGAGTCTTCTGACCACCCTAAGCAAAAATGCAAGTTTCTTTGGGATGCGGTTTTCCCCCTCGAAATGCAAAATGTTCCTACAGGATTGGGTTTCATCGGCACCTGAACTAGTGATAGGGAGTGAAGTAGTCGAACGTGTAGACCGCTTCACTTATCTTGGGAGTCTCATCAGTGCCGATGGCCTGGTGACTGACAAAATCTCAGCACGGATACAGAAGGCTTGATTGGCTTTTGTCAACCTGGGTCACTTATGGCGTAGGCGAGATATCCCCCGACCGAAGCTGCTACCTTGACGTGGTGGTCGGGCTTGCCTATCGTGATGACCCAACCGAGCTATACTGGCTGGAACATATGTTCCTGCAGGTCCTACCATGCCAGGCAGGTCGATTGGAGAACGATAAGACTAAAAGCAGCTACCCAAGGTCTGAGGGCGAAGTCGTACTGCTGACTGCAGAGGGGTGCGACAGCAGTAAGGTGTTTCCCTCGGACAAACAGCATCTGCAGCGATGCTGCCTTCTCACAAGGAAGGAAGGGTTAGAAAAGGTCGGCCCTAAAAATGTCACACTCCCCCTAACTCACGGATTTCCGTCTCCTTGGGTAAGGGTGCCCACTAAGGGCCTTTAAGAACGGAGCTAATTCTCAAAATACCTTTCATAAAAAGGCCGTGCGTGACCGGCCTCAAGCAGTTGTCCCTTGGGCTCTGCGGTCACGCACCAACACTAATCCATCTTCCTTTTCAAGTCCCTCAAGAAACAACCTTCCACGGTGTGGGCAGCAGGGAAGTGACAACCGCCCTCATACCCATAACAGCACGCGAGACCAAATTGGTCAAAATCAAATCCTTCCTACACCCCCTAATGTCTCTTTTATCTCTACAACTAACTCTACTCACACTCCCTTTTCTCACTGCACCGCTAATGCAGACGAAGCGAGATCACGAAACGTCGTTCCTGGTCTCTTGAAACCCCGTTCTAGACTACATATTGGAGCTTTTAATGTACGGACATTGTGTCAAATAGGGCAACAGGCATCATTAGCCAGGACTTTAGAAACTCGTGCCATCGATGTATGCTGCGTCTCGGAAACGCGCATACAGGATCCTAGTAAAGTCATTAACCTGACTCCACCTTGTCAAAACGAAGAAGCAGCTCGATTTACTCTTCGGGTATCCGGTAGCCCTGATGCTGCTTCCAGGGGTCTTGCTGGCGTAGGCATAGCGTTGAGTCCTAGGGCAGAATTATCTCTCCTAGACTGGATCCCAGTTGATAGTCGCTTGTGCGCTGTCCGACTAAACTGGACGGTTAGGACTCGGAAGGATAGGGACACTCGTCGTTGCCTCTTCGTCATATCTGCCTACGCTCCCACTGACTGCAGTTCAGACGAGGTGAAAGATGAGTTTTACAGAAAGCTTTTGGACCTCCTACAAAAAGCTAGGCGCTCTGACATAGTATTGATGGCTGGTGACTTTAATGCTCAAGTAGGTAGACTAAGTGAAAATGAAAGACACCTAGGTGGATGTTATGGTGTCGCGGCTCAGAGAACAGACAAGGGTGACCGTCTGTTGCAAGTATGCTCAGATAACCGCCTATTCTTAGCAAACACTAACTTTAGGCATAAGGAAAAGCATCTGTTGACCTGGCGACCTCCAAAGTCGTCTCAACGTCGGACTCAACTAGATCACATCGCCATCAGCCACCGATGGAGGGTTTCGATAGAAGACTGTCGCTCGTTCTGGGGAACACGTTTGGATTCAGATCATGCTCTAGTGCGAGCTCGTATCTGTTTAAGGCTTACTGGACGTAGGAAAGACACCTTAAGAAAGCCTCTTAGGGTTTTACTTAATGATAATAAAACCAAGAAAATATTTCAGGAGCAACTAGAAAGAGAGTTAAGCAACCATGCAAGCGATTCCCATCCAGAAGCAGGTTGGTATGATATCAAAAAGGCTGTGGAAACAGCAGTGATATCTGCTAGTAAGGTTGACCATAAGGCTAGGATGAAGCCGTGGATTTCAGTCGCATCCACCGAACTGATGGATGCTCGAAAACGCATCCCACCTGACTCTGAACATGATGACGAACGAAGTCAACTTAGGCGCAGACTTATAAAAAGCCTACGTAACGACCGCGAACAGTGGTGGGTGGCGAAAGCAAAAGCGATGGAAAAGGCAGCGGCGATCGGCAAAAGTAGACAACTTTTCCGACTTATCAAAGAAACCGGTATTAAGAACCCGAATGTGAGTGAGACTATCTCGGTAAAGGATGGTCTTATTATCCATTCTCAATCCAGGAGACTGGATCGATGGGCAGAACACTTTAGGGATCAGTTCAACTGGCCACGAGCCACTCTTCAGTTACCCACGATCTCCAGTCATCCTGAATGGCAAATCGACGTAAGTCCCCCTAGTCTTTATGACGTTGAGAAAGCGTTAGGAAATCTGAAACGAGGACGAGCTGCAGGTCCTGATAGACTGACCCCTGAGATATTCAGGGATGGTGGTCCAGTTTTAGCAGCTAGATTGACTGAGATCTTAGGTAAAATCTGGGAACTGGACGTAATCCCATCCGACTGGTCTCAATCCTTGATAGTCCCAATCTATAAGAAAGGACAAAAGTCTTCTTGTGACAATCACAGGGGAATAAGTCTAACTAATATAGTATCTAAAATATTGGCCTCAATAATACTTCGACGCTTAACGAAAGCTCGTGAAGAGCAGACTCGAGTAAACCAGGCTGGTTTTCGACCTGGACGTGGCTGTATAGACCACGTCTTCACACTCAGACAGGTCCTGGAACATAGACACACATTTAGGCGTCCTACAATAGTTGTTTTCCTAGACCTTAAGGCGGCATTTGACTCTGTTGATCGTGAGGTTCTGTGGCAGTGTCTGTCATTGAAAGGTGTACCACAGAAGTACATTAACCTTATACAAGCTCTTTACTCGAACACCACTGGTCGGGTGAGGGCTTATGGCGAACTGTCACCGGAATTCTCTACATCAAGTGTTGTCCGTCAGGGATGTCCACTTTCTCCATTCTTGTTTAATTTTATCATAGACACGCTCCTAGACATAACATTATCCTCGTCTGAATTTTCAGGAGTAGACCTTCTTCCAGGTGGCTCGCTTATTGACTTAGAATATGCCGATGACATTGTCCTACTTGGTGAAGACGCTGACAAAATGCAGAGTCTTCTGACTACCCTAAGCAACAATGCAAGCATGTTCGGGATGCGGTTCTCACCCTCGAAATGCAAAATGTTGCTTCAAGATTGGGTTTCATCGGCACCTGAACTAGTGATAGGGAGTGAAGTGGTTGAACGTGTAGACCGCTTCACTTATCTTGGGAGTCTCATCAGTGCCGATGGCCTGGTGACTGACGAAATCTCAGCTCGGATACAGAAGGCTCGATTGGCTTTTGCCAACGTGCGTCACTTATGGCGTAGGCGTGATATCCGTTTGCTGACTAAAGGACGAGTGTACTGCGCAGTAGTTCGCTCCGTCTTACTTTATGGCTGTGAAACATGGCCAGTTAGAGTAGAAGATATTCGTAGGTTACTGGTTTTCGATCATAGGTGTCTTCGAAGCATTGCTCGTATATCGTGGGACACCCGAGTGAGCAACGCTGTTATTAGGAATCGGTTTTTGGTAAGAATGGCAGATCAATCGATGAAGTATTGAAACTTCACCAGTTGAGGTGGTTGGGTCATGTGTTGCGTATGCCCAACCACCGACTGCCTCGAAGAGCTTTGTTTTGTAGTGTAGGAGTAGTTTGGAAGAAAGTTAGGGGCGGCCAAACCAAAACATGGCAGAAATCCATGAAGTCATTGACGAGTGGACTGAGCCATGTCGGTAATTGTCGACTACCTGGTTGGGGTCCGCGAGATGATAATAATCGATGGTTAGAGACCTTGAATGACATGGCTCAAAATCGTTCGCAATGGCGCCAGTGCATTTATTCTCTGTGTTCTCCCAAATGCTAATCTTCTGGATTCTTCAACACCTCTAGTTTCGACTCTCTAAACTTTTCTCACTGAATCATACTTCTTGAGTACTATCTTCTAATCCTAACCTCTCCGATTATTTCTAATTCCCTTACTACCTCTTCTACTATTGGATTTGAATTGACGATTACTTCTCTGTGCTGATGTGGTATGGCAACATGAACTGATGTACTTATGTACAAAGTTCTACGTTGCATCTGACTGACTGACTGAGGCGAGATATCCGTTTGCTGACTAAAGGACGAGTGTACTGTGCAGTGGTTCGCTCCGTCTTACTTTATGGCTGTGAAACATGGCCAGTGAGAGTAGAAGATATTCGTCGGCTATTGGTTTTCGATCATAGGGTCTTCGAAGCATTGCTCGTGTATCATGGGACAACCGTATAAGCAATGCTGTCGTTAGGAAACGAGTTCTAGGTAAGGATGTCAAATCAATAGATGAAGTGGTGAAACTTCATCAGTTGATGCGGTTGGGACATGTGTTACGAATGCCTAACCACCGACTGCCTCGTCGAGCTATATTTTGCCGGGTTGGAAGAAAGCTATGGGTGGCCGGACCAAAACATGGCAGAAGTCCATGAAGTCACTGAAAAGTGGAATGAGTCATGTCGGTACGCGTCGATTACCTGGTTGGGGCCCGCGCTATGTTAGCAATCGATGGTTAGAAACCCTGAATGACATGTCTCAGAATCGTTTGTAATAGCGTCGGTGCATTCATTATTTGTGTTCTTTTGAATCCTAAACTTTTTCATTCTTCATCACTTTATCTTTATTTTTTTAAGTATATTTCACTAGATACTACTTCTTGAATAATATCTTCTAAGCCTAACCTCTGCGACTACTGCTAATACCTTTAGTACCTCTAGTACTGTTGGATTTGAATTGTCAATTACATATCTATGCTAACGTGGTATGGCAACATGAACTGATGTACATACGTACGAAGTTCTACGTTACTATTTACTGATTGGTCTGTATCTGACCTTCTTTTAGCATTACTAATAAATTAGTGTGATCAGCCTTATTTGATAATACATCATCTACCAATATTTCCTCTAACGTACCAACTTTTTTGTAAAATGGGAATTTAGTTGGATAAAAGCATTTGCTGGGTAAAATTATAAATATATATATATATATATATATATATATATATATCGCTTGTGAATTGTAGATTACTTTATCTTTTCTTTGTAGGTGGATACTTTAATCAAAGAAGCAACTGATGTTGATCGACTCTGTCAAATGTACAAAGGATGGATGCCGTTCCTATAAATTTACTTGAATTCTTTGATTTTTCAAAAGATATAATCTTGCTGTTTTTTTGAATATTATTGTCACTAAAAATTAATAAGACCTCTCTTTCTCATGTTAACTCATTTGTATATTTATTACGGCAAATTCCCTTGTTCATTTTTTGCTTGTTTCATTTTATATTGGATATGTACAGTACAAAGTATGATAAATAATTTGAATCTTTTATCACCGTCGACGAGAATCATGATAAAACGAGTATAAATAACATCTGTGCATCTATCAGTGCATGAGTATATTCTATATGGTTGAACCACTAGTATATATATATATATATATAAAATTTTCTGGCCTCAGCTGGCTTAATATACAGTTCACTTGAACCTCAGTGGGTATTTCGGTGTAACAACCATGATTATTTCATAGAGGAATCAAAATCCTACAACTTTTCCCATTTATAAACTTGATTAAAGAAAGAAAAGATATATTTCGTAGATCCTCCTTAGATGCTTGCAACCCTAAAACCACCGTATTATCGTGCAAATACGAACTTATCGCTACATTGATTACCGTCCCTGATAATAGTTTTATCAGATATTGAGCATATACTGTTAACTATTGCTAGGTACTTACTTCGCTATGCGGTGATATGAAACTGAATTATCAGCTAATTTCTATCCATTGTGCTTTCTTCGCTTGTGGTATCGACTGGGCAATACTGACAGTCGTAATTGTATCAAGATGCTAAGTAGCCTTTCCTATTGTTGTTATGTCTTAAGTTAGAATTTCCTGCAGACCCTAAAAGTGTACTCAAATGCATAATTACTGCTGTAAAATAGATTTTAGACATTTATTTAGAAAGCATCATCAACCTGCTACCTCAAACTGTTAAGATAGCCTAAATATATCACTTTTATAATCTATTTAAGCATTGGTGTGTACTATTTATGAACAAATTGTTTGAAAATTCAAAGTAAGTTACCCTCCAAAAAAAGTTTTAATAGTTTTAGTTCAAGTACGACGGCCATTATTGGTCCTTTCCAGTGACCTCAATCAGGTTATAGTTGTGAATCACATTACAATTCAGTATTTTACTTGACAATGGAATTAGAGAGAATCTTTTTGAAGAGATATTTTATCAATCATAAATCTGGAGGTAATCAGTTTAACATATATGGTTTTTTGCAACTCAAGCTAAATCGTCTCTATAAGTAATCTAAAATTTCACGAAGTAAATCACAACAATTATTCATAAATTTTTTCCTACTGTTTGGTTTGCAGGATATTTTTGCTGTTTCGGACTACATGACAATACGTGTTTGATAAATTTATCTTACTGTAACTGATATTCTGATAGTTTTAAGATAAATTGATTACTAATCCAAAATGTACTCCATCGAGGTTTAAATTTTACAGTTAGTTCCCCTACAAATAATCATTTCAGAACAAATATATATATATATATAACCGAGATATTTATGACAAATGTTATGAAGTTGACGACGAAGGACATCTAGAACAACAAACAGCTCTCAATAAACACCAAAGTCAGAATTTCCAATACAAATGTGAAGACAGTTCTATTGTATGGGGCGGAAACTTGGATAACTACGAAAGTCATTATTCAGAAGATACAGGTGTTCATTAACAACTGTTAACACAAAATACTTCGGATTCACTGGTCAGACACTACCTGGAACAACCTACTGTAGGAGAGAACAAACTAGATTCCAGCAGAGGAAGAAGCGGTGGGATTGGATAAGACATACATTGCGGAAGGCACCCGACCGCGTCACAAGACAAGTCCTCATCCGAAATCCTCAGGGCCAAAGGAGAATAGGGAGGCCAAGGAACATATTACGCCGAGAAACAGAGATACATGAGAACATCAATTGCACAGAACTAGAAAGGAAGTGCCAGGACAGAGTAGGTTGTGGAATACTGGTCGGCAGTCTGTTCTATTGGGGCTAACTGGCGTAAGTTATGAAGTTGAGAATATTTGTTATTTTGTGGAAGAAACCCAACTTCTTGATGGCTGGTTATCACGAATAATTGTAGTTTAAAGATATCCATTTATGTCTTCCGCTACAGTTAAATCAAAAATTGAACCCAACTCACTTCAACTGAAATAGTAGATGTAATTACTGTTTTTATAAAGCGTACAGATATTTAATATATATTCAATTAATAGGTTTGTAACGTAAAATTTAATTGGATACTACGTATTTTCGATGAAGGGAAATATCCCATTAAACTAAAGACCAACTTATAATACATAGATATTACAAGACTTCATACACAAGTGCTTTTGGCTTTTAGTATTCATAAGAACCATTTTGAGTGCAACATAATTTTGGAAAAGTAATATTCATGTCATTAATTTTACTGTAGTAAAAGCCTGTAAGAAGAATAAACTGAAATCCAACAAACCAGGAAGTCAACCAATCAAGGTTCAGTACACTTTAGAAATAAGACCTCCACTAATTCACTTGAATGATCCCAAAGAATTCATATTGGATGTTGTTGGATCGCACAATAAATGGTCCGCAAATTTCAAATTCACTGAGAATTTCGCTGAATCACAATCATCTATTGGACAGGTTTGAGCTATTTAGTAAATAATAGAATGACTTGTTTTTGTGGAAAATGCTATCCATCAGCATATAAAACGGAAACTAATTCAGATTTCGCCCCCACCAATTTGGTTGGGGGAAATTGCTGTTAAATACGTTCGGTGATGGATAGAATTTTTCACTACACATCAAAGTAATTACTTAATACCAACAATTAGCACCATCATACTTAATCGATTAAAGATACGTTGATTTAAACTTGAGAATGGATTTAAGAAATAACGGTAATGTGATATATATTGGCATTGAAGTGCTATGGACATTCGTTCGTAAATACAAAGTGAATAAACATGCCACTGATAAGTTTATGCAATAGTGATAACATCCTACATAACTTGTCTGGAATAGATGCTGACTATCGTTGGGAGTAATAAGGATATATTTACAATCGAATCATCCAGGTAATCGTTAAATCTCAGCGCTAACGAATACTAGCTGAAACCTGAAATTTAAATATGCACACTAAAATAATTCGAAATATCAATATTAAGTGACGGTATGATGCTAATTCTTTGAATTCGGTTCATTTTAGTGGTTGTTCTCCTACCTAGTAATTCACAAACTGAGCTTTATTTGAGACTGAAAAAGTTGGACTCCTAAATTCCAAAAAAGGTAATATAAAAATGTTCGATGTGCTATTCTCCCTCCAAAGGCTAACTCCATAGTCCGAATCAACGACTAGTCATACCTGAAAAAAGTCATAATCCAATATGTAAACACGCATCGATTCTTTTGGATTATTGACTAATCAGATTTCAGTACTGGTACAAGAGTTTTACTGAATCTCCTTCAATTTGAACTACGTATTAAAAAGTCGATATATTTCTTTATCTATTAAGAAGGCCGATTACTACACAGTTCGATCTGTATGGTTCTCTGTATTCCCGTATTCTGCACATGTTTATAATAATCTTGGACTAGTCAAAAACAAAAATGGTTATTCTGCATAGTATGTTCGATTTGCTTCAGCAGTAAGACGATGTTATCGACTATTTAAATAGAAAAAAAGTTGAAAATCTGTACATCAAATTTATTTTTGTCTTAAAAGAGGTAAAACAACAAGGCATATCAAACTAAAACCCATTTGATGCATTATATACATCATGGATTTCTTTAGAGTCACTAAACTTCAAGCTACAAAATAATAAGAACTTGTACATAATAATTACATGTAGTATATGCTCATGCGGATAACTGCAGCGTGTCACCCAGATTCTATCATTAAAAGCGGGGTTTTCCCAACCATGTATTTACGTCATGAAGGCGCCAACAAGAAAACATTAAAGCCGAGGTTCTCACTTTGATCATCCGGAAAAGAATATCCTTTACCTGTTTAATGGCTGTGGAGCACAAAACTGCAAATGAACAACTGGGAAAAAAGATATGACAATATCAGATAACTACTTCGACATTAATCCTCTGTTTAATCCCCATTAAACTCTACTGAGTTAGTGATATCTCCACTATTTTTTTCTATGAGTGGCTGAAGATTTTATTCATTAGAAGTGCGTAAAAAGCTATAAACCGTGATCAATCTAAATAGGTCCCACACGAAATGAGCAGACAAAAGAACGTGAGCATGATCCTAAACAGAGATTCGTGATGGATCGGCAGACCAGTCCGACACAGTCTTCTTTCATACCAAGCTGATCACCTGTCTTTTGAAGGTAATTTCAGCCTAAATAGATGCAACATTTAATGCGTTCCTAGTCAGCATGAAATTACAACTGAACTTTAAAACAGTGAAAAATCCATTATATTATCTAATAAGAGTATCTTAATAAATCTTACATTAATATTTTAGATTGAGCAGGTAAATGTTGGAAAGATTCAATATCTGAGAATCTCACCCTGTGATAAAAATACCGAGTCCAGATACGTCATGGATGGTGTATGCTTAGTGTTTTTTTAATATATGTCTATCACGCATGAACTTTTAGCTGACAGTAACTCAGAATCTGGAAGCAGAAGAAATCTATCATTTGCTGAAAAGCCCACAATTCTATACAGTAATACCGTCTGAATTGAGGAACTGCTTGTCAAAGGTAAATAAAATATCGTTTTTCTTACAATCATAGGAAAATTCGCTATTAACACGGTATAATTGCGAAGGTTTGGAAAGGAAACGAAAAATCAATTTATCTTTACCATTGGCTAATAAATATACCTTTGAAGAGTCGGTTTATGGCAATTTCAAACCACCTTCGACATATTTGCTTAAATTTTCAGATATAACTGTTGGTCTAGAACGTAAATAAACTAAACCGTCAGCTTTGGTGAATTACTGTTTAGAAAGTAAGACTGAGTATTGCAACAATGGTTCATTGATTCTATTAGTAGTAACATCACTAGAAAAGCAGTACACTGTACCAAAGTGCTTCATAACTAGCCTACAAATGTACAGAAATACATTTGGAATGTGGTTTGCAAATAAATGAACTAGACTTTCCAGAACTATTAGAATACTCTGGTAGCCCAAATAAAAATATATCATTTAACGTCTTTCATTAATCAATGCCAACATAATAATGAGTGGTACGACCTAAATATTTTAATAGTTGGGAGAAAGCATCATTAGGGCATGCGGCCTTATAATATAGAATCGGATAAAAATGAACTAGCTTCGTTCCAATAAAAACTCGACCACACACAGTTGTGGTCAACTATACTACTTGAATCTTAACTAATTATAAATGCATTCCACGAAACTGAATGCTCAAGATACATCATATTTGCCTGAACAATTCACGCCGACAAAGTCAGTATAGGATTTCTCTAACTCAGCTACTGTAACCTGATATAAAAACCCGCAAATAGCTACATACTATGAAAGAGAATGCACGGTCTCATGAAGAACATGCATTTAGTTATAACATACATTTATCTGATATGACGTAATGTCAGTACAGAGGACTTATTAGCCTCGATAATCCATAGACGCCTAAGTAGAGCCCATGAAGAGCAGACTAGCAAAAACCAGGCTGATTCCCGACAGGGACGTGAATGTATAGATCACATCTCCACACTATGACAGGTCCCGGAACACAGACACTTTTAGGCGTCCGGCAACAGTTGTTTTCCTGTACTTTAAGGCGGCATTCGACTCAGTGGATCGTGAGGTTCTGTGGCAGAGTCTGTCATTGAGAGGTGTACCAGAGAAGTACATTAACCTTATACAAGCTCTCTACTCGAACACCACTGGTCGAGTGAGAGCATATGGCGAACTGTCATCGGAATTCTTCAATTCAAGTGTCCGCTCTCTCCATTCTAGTTTAATTTTATCATAGACATGCTCCTAGAAATAACCTTACCCGCGTCTGAATTTTTGAGGAGTGAACCTTTTACCAGGTGGCTCGCTTATTGACTTAGAATATGCCGATGACATTGTCATACTTGGTGAAGTCGCTGACAAAATTCAGAGTCTTCTGACCACCCTAAGCAAAGATGCATGCATGTTTGGAATCCGGTTTTCCCCTCGAAATGCAAAACGTTGCTTCGGGATTGGGTCGCATCGGCACTTGAACTAGTGATAGGTTGTGAAGCAGTCAGGCGTGTTGACCGCCTCACTTATCTCGGGAGCCTCATCAGTTGCAGATGATCTGTTGACCGACGAAATCTCAACACGAGTACAGAGGACTCGATTGGCTTTTGCCAACCTGCGTCACTTATGGCACAGGCGAGATATTCGTTTGCTGACCAAAGGACGAACGTACTGCGCAGTAGTTCGCTCCGCCCTACTACACAGATACGAAACATGACCGGTGAGAGTAGAGGACAATCGTAGATTACGCGTCTTCAGAGTACTGCTCGTATATCCTGACACACCCGAGTGAGCAATGCTATTGTTAGGAAACGAGATACGGATGACATCTGCCACTAGAACAAATGACAGTCATCTTGCCAAGAAACACATTTTACTTTGGACATAACCATAGGAAAATAACTTGTTGCTTAGAGCAACAGCAAGTTGTGTTTGCAGATACCCCTGATCCTACCACAAACATGTCCAAGAGAATACCCGACTAATATCAGACTCAAACGTAGACGACACAAAAACCGCCTACAAGTTGGCGTTCATTCAGTATTTGCGGTGAACTTGAAAATTTTAACTGTTAAAATATAACATAATGACCCGGAAATTTACAAAATTATTCTAAGAGATGTAGATGGCATTGACTAACAGGAGGATATTTATTCACCAGTTTTAATCAGTGACTTACGACATGGAAGAGATGTAAGTTCAGGTCGCGGCAGTGAATCTGGAGATCAACTGTAACTGTTTGACATGTCAGTAACACGTGGAGAATAACGCATGTCCATGAGAAAATTATATTATAATATACTAAGCTCTTGGTCTTTCCTTTTTGTGTGTGTACAAAGCTTTGAGGGATACACCTGCAACTTTAACAATCTTGAATCTTACACCAGGTATGTCACCGACAGCGTGTCCCTTCCGCCCGAAACCAGAAACAAGAACTTCGTCATTTTCTTCGATGAAGTTCAGACAACCGTCATTCGGTACGAAAGCAGTGATTTTCTTTCCATTCTTAAGGAGCTGAACACGAACACACTTGCGAATAGCAGAATTAGGCTGTTTAGCTTCAACACCAAGCTAAGATGCTAAATGATAAAGCGTGTTAATTACCTTTTCAAGTACAACACCTTTGGCATGTGAAGCACCTTTGAAGGGATTAGCTTTCCATTTCGTTCCAATATGAGCCTTCTTGTATGCTTTATCTGACCATTTCTGAGATCGTCGATGGTCCCGAAGCTTGCGCGCAGTCTTCAGACCAGAAGGTTTACCTGCAGGCATTTTAAATTTCCACCTAAATGTAGCGAGGATGATGAACCGCCAACAAGAGGTGACTAAAACAATTAGTCTCAGTTTAAAGAGACCAAGAGGCTCGGTGACCAGTTTTAGGCTTAGCAATAGTGATCGCTCAGTTGATCCGACTTTCCCTTGAATTTGTAGACAGATATAACTTCATTCATGTGTTGAGGTAACGAGTTCATATTGTTGACTATTCGACGAGCAAAACGGGATTCAGATGACATGTGATTTGTCTTGAATTCATGAAATTTTAAGGGCATTCTCGTCAATTTTCTATTTCGCAGGCGGAAGAAAACGAATTTATATCATTTTCAAACGTGCCGTTATGCAATATTTTTTCATAAACCAGTTGATTCCTTTGAGATTGATTCTTGTTCTTTCGAGACGGTTTCAGGTATTCGTTATTGTCCAAGGAATAGGGGTCCAGCCACTCAGATGCCTAATTCTAGTCAGTTGGCAGTTGTTGTGAGCTTGTATCTCCCATGATTTGTTTCAGGGAAGTAGGGTTTCTGAGTACCAGCAGCTATCACATTACCAGACCGGAGATCAGATAGCTGCAATGTAGAGAATAATAAGGAGGAAATTCTAGTGTTAATAAGGATGAGATTTCAGAACTAAGTAAATAAATGAATAGTTTAGTTTACTGATCTGTAGTGAAGACTGCGCGAGAGGATCGAAGGGTGAGCAAGGGAGATGAAACAGAGACAACAAGCGCGACAGATTAAGTTAGTGATCTGAGGAGATGGTAATAATAACAACTAGCAGGTCTGTAGACATGCTTTGGGCACAGCTGGTCCACGAGAGAGATGATAAACCGTATGTGAGTACGTGGTTATCAAGTCTGTTCTTAAAGCTGTCCACTGAGGGGGCTGTGGTCACATCAGCTGGTAGAGCACTCCGAGTTGAAACGGCTCTTAATGAGAAAAAGTGTGCACGAACCTGAGTATTCGCTCTTTGATGTGCAATTCTTCGAGGATTCCCTTGAGTAGGCTGGTGGTGATGAATCGATAAGATGGTCACAATTGGATGGTTTGGAGTGCTTAATATGTTGTACGCCGTAATCAGATCATCTCTGATTTTCCTGTGACTCAGTGGAAATAATTCCACGTGCTGGAATTCATTTTCGTCAGTGTGAGTAATTCGAAAACCGATTATTCCTCCTCTCGTTTTTTCATCTGATAAAGAAAATGATTTTATCTAACCAGTTTCTTAAACCCACTCCAACAGTTTAGTGCCTTTTTAGGCCAGTGGTTGTTTGATTGTGTGTAATATTCAGACTGAGGACGAACGGATAATGTAAGAGATGTCCAAAATCTCTTTGCATATGTATAAACCATGAAGTTCTCACATGGTAATGTGTAATAGTTTTAAAGTCTTTGCTAATGATGACTACTCGGATGTTGTGTGTCTGTGTATTTTTCAGGTATGTCTCCAAGCCTTGGAGATGATTGTGCTTCATTATTCACTTCAAATCATTTACTGACAACTACCAAATTCTAGGCCATACAGATAATTTCTGCTGGTCGCATAAAAGCTGTAGACTATTACCTTACTTTTTTCAGGCTTAACATATCTTGATATTGTCATGATAAATGCGAAACCGACAATGATAAAAGATTTGGGAAATCATCTAAATGCAGGAAGAACAAATCTGACTCTGGGCACCTAGCTAAGCGCACGTTCCAAGAAGACTAGGGAGTCTCATCAGTGCTGACGGCCTGGTGACTAACGAAATCTCAGCACGGATACAGAAGGCTCGATTGGCTCTAACCCACTTGCGTCATTTATGGCGTAGGCGATATCTGTTTGCTAAACAAAGGTCGAATGTACTGTGCATCAGTTCGCTCCGTTTTCCTATACGGTTGAGAAACATGGCCGGTAAGAGAAGAAGATATTCGTAGGTTACTGGAACTCGATCACCGAGGTCTAAGGAGCATTGCTCCCGTATCGTGAGACACGCGAGTAAGCAACGCAGAAGTAATATCATGAAACCAGGACTAACGTAGAATCGATTTTGAAGGCTTTGTCTTGGGAAAACCCTTCCATGTATATATTTGTTCGTACGGACTCTTTCTTTCCTGCATTTTGGTGGTCTGTTTAATCCCATTTTGGGGATGGTAATATTTGTATTTTGTTATAATTTCTGTTTTTGTACCTTTATTGGAGTTTCTATGTTTTCTAGTGGACTGCATTTGCTGTTTAAATTGATACTTAATTACGGTTACAGCCATTCGGATTTGATACTCCGGCGGGTAAACGCGCATCTGGACCGGAAGGGTGAAATTTTAGACCTTTCATTGTGTGTTTTTTGTGTTATTTTTGATGGAAAACAGTGTGATATTGTTTAGGTAATTATCGGTATTTTCTGAATAAAAAAAGATTCGTTTTTTATCCAGATAAATTACTTTTCATTTGCATTAACTAGGTAAGTTCCATGTCTGATCTTCTACAATTGCTTTTCCGAATTCAGAATCCACCACGAATCTTACAACTTTTGAAGCCTATTCAAAACAAAGAAACTGTTGAAAGCAATGAATGTCATCTAACATTGTGCTCTCACTAAACATCGCAGTTTGACAATAGACGAGAAATGCCCCCGCAATGAACATGATTGTTCTGATTGGGGACCTGAACACTAAGCTTCAAACGGTCAACAACGGACGTGAGGAAATCATGGGACAACATGGAATAGGAGGAAGGAACGAAAGCAGTGATAGATTCGCAAACGTACGTGCCATGAACAAATTTGCCATAGGCGGCACTATATTTCCACACAAACACCTACAAAATGTTACATGGATTTCACAGGATCACTCGACGCAGAACTTAAATGATCACATGTGCATCAATAAAATGTTCCGAAAAACGATGGAGGACGTGACAACCGGAAGAGGAGCTGAAGTGTCTTCAGATTATCATTTGTTGGTGGCCAATATGAAAATAAAACTAAAGAAGCACTCGACAACGAGGTCGATAACAATATAAAAGTTTATTATGGTCATTTTTTGGGATACTGTAAACCTCAATGAATTCAAAATATCCCGTAGCAATAAGTTGACGATCTTTCACGATCTACCCGATGGACAGGGAAGTACTGTAACGAATAACTGAAAAGGGATCAAGAAAGCAATATGTTTAGTCTATCGTGAGGTTCTCGATCATCAGAACCAACTTCACCAGGAACACATATCTATTGGTACACGGAATAAGATTCGCTCAAGGAAGAACAAGAAGTCAGCAATCAATCTTGGACAAATGGGAGAAGAGAAAGTAGACTAACTTAATACCCAGAAAAAAACAAATAATTAAAGAAGGGGGCAAAAGCTCTCCATCATAAATATGCTGAAGATCCAACAACGACAGCAGTAAATACTGCAAGGAAAGAAAAGCCGAGACACCTATAAGAAACAACGAAGAAAGGCGCTGGAAAAAATAACAAACGATAAAGAACAGTGAAAGGCAAGTAAGGCAAACCAATCACCGACATTCAAAAACAGCATGTGAGTAAAGCACTTTGAAATCTATTGGATAGAACAACCCCGCCCAAACCACCCAAAATAACAACATCAACCACGAACCTATCGATCTTGAATCATCAACAGCTCAAGAAACCAGCAGCGCCATCAGACATATCGAGAGTAGCAAAGTAAAATGGCCGGACAGCATACCAGCTTAGGCATTGAAAGCAGACATGGAAGTAACTGTGAAGATGTTCCGCTTTCTGTTCAGCAACACTGGTAGGGAAGATCAGGTAACAACAGACTGGAGTGATGGACACCTTATCAGGATACCAAAGAAAGGAGATCTTAAAAAGTATCATAACTACGGCGGCATTACTCTGCTCTCAGTATCAGTAAATGTCTTCAACAGAGAGTTGTTAAATCGAATGAAAAATTCGTCAGAAGTTTGGATTCCGTAAGGATTGCTGAAATCGCGACCGAATCGCAACATTACTGATCATTGTGAAACAGTCAGCTGCTTGGAAATCACTAGTCTACATAAAGTTCTTGGACTCCAAGAAGGCATTTGATAGCGTGGACTGGATGACACTATGAAAGCCATCATCCACAAGATACAATTTTTTATAGACCATTGTCTACACAGAATGTACACACTTATTGAATAGTGCTATAGCCGTTTTATTGGGGATTCCGGTTCTGTTGTTTAATCTACTAAGGGTTTTCAGTGTATAATTTCTTGCATGTTTGCTTTACTAATGTTCAAGATGACGTCGTCTTTGGATGTCAAAGACAAGAAGTGAATATCAATTCGTTCTGAGAGTGGCATATTGTCGATATAAAGTCTCGTTGTAATGATTCGGATTCCAGTTCGTGCCTAATAGCAGCTCTAAATGTTCAACCGCAAAAGAATTTTCTGTAAATTTATTGCTTTGATCTTTTCAGTCTACTGAAAAAGCGCTAAGTCATCCCATACTAAAGACTAGCCACTCAAAAACCAGATGTTGATCTCTTTTATCAAGACCTCGCTGACCTCACAATTGGAGTCTCGATGACCCGAGCGTTTCAGCTGCTCTTGTCTTTTTCACTTCAGGTGATCCCAGGGATGTCTTGAGACACAGATTAATCCAGTAAACCTTTTATTATCTCAAAGTTACTCTGGAAAAGAACTTTGGGGACATGGTTTTACTCCCACAGACTTTTATGAACTAAGACTGTTCTGTCATCTTCTCAGTCTTCAATTTCAAAATTGATTTTGCTGCAGCTGTCACACCTTTGGTGACATTTAGTAGTTCCTTTTCGTGACCTGTACCCATTTATCAGCTTTAATTGAGGCAGCATCCACAGATGCCTATTGCATTGTATTAGATCCTAAGTGATTTACCGCTTCCGTGGTCCGACTGCTTTTTCCTGAAGGCAGATATAGCCTTACTACTACATTTTTAGTTGTTTATTGGCTGCTCCCACTTAGAGGACGTGGCACAGAAAAAATCTGCTATACTGGATCTTTATCCTACACGGACT